AAAGCCTATCAAGTCCATATATTAGTTCTATTCTGTTCCAAAGACTGGGGCAATAGCTGAGTGAAAGACGGAATTGGCGTGGGCAAGAAAAACTCACGCTAATGTAAGGCTTGTAGTCGTCCTCCATGGACAAAGCTGATAGTTTAATGCTGAGTGTGTGCATGGCTGTGGCAAAAGCAGCTGGGAATTGCTCGTCCTCGGGAAAGCGCTTTACTGCCTCCCGCAAGAAGTCCAGACAGACTCCATCGTCCTGCTCATGTCCTTTGAGCAGGTATGTGACCAAGCTTTCAGAACGTGATCGCCTAGTAACACCTGTAAGTAATTGAAACGCACAGGATGGGTGTACTTACCCAAAGAGATCCGGTATCGTGAGCGCAAACAAAGCGTTGCTAACACACAGTCTCTTTGCCTCCTCCAGAGCCTCCCTCTTCTCTGCCGTCTCTTTGAGTATGTTTGTCCGGATGATGCGTTTGAATGAGGGAAGGAGATAGCCGAGAAGGGGCTTGTCGGCGGGAATCGCAGTGACGGCCTCAAGCAATGCACTATCGAGGATGGAGGTTGTCAGTTTGAGCGGCGATCCATTCTCTTGGAGCTCTTGGCTAGCTTCCGGCAGGAAGGTAAGCTTGTGTCCATGGGCGTCGACAACTCTCTCTGGGTCGACTGTAATCCGGAAAATATGGCTGAGGATTCGATCTGAAAAATCGTCCAACGACTCCTCCACATTTGCTTTCTTTGCGGGAGCAGGTGCGGTTGCGCGGTCGGAGGCGATTCGCTTGTTGCTCTCAGTGTTGTTCGATGCAGCTGGTGACGACGCACCGCTGCCGGATTTGACACCAAGTTGAGTGAAGGGATTCGAGGCGGCAGGCTTCGGTGTAGATGAGGATGCTGGGCTGGCTGGGGCCTTGGGGGCCTTAACTTCGCTCGTTGCGGAGTTTGATGTCTCGGCATCTGCTGACGATTCTCCTTCTGGCTTGGGGGATCTAGTCGAGGAGCCAAGCTTGGCGAGCCGTCGAAGTCGGATCTAGGTAGACTGGTCAGATTATTTCCTACGGGATCAAGTGATGATATTAATATCCACGGCGGCTGTTGCCCTCATGTGTCCCTTGTGACCTATTTGCCGATTGCGCTTGCCACAGTAGGTTCTCTGCCAAGTTATCCGCATCAACATTGTGCGCGTAGGCCGACTAGAACAGCGGAAAGGTAAGAGTGAACGGCGAGGGCGATTCAAACCAGACCATACGTCTGAAGAAAGGGTGCGGGTAGAGTGGAAATCGTTCAGGTTCGGGAGTACGAGCACTAGGAGGAGGAGAGTGAGAGGGCGAGAGGCAGACAGCTCTTACATCGTTCATCTTCTTGACGTCGGGCGCGTCGGGCGCTTGGTTGCCCTCGTTTGGATCCATGGTGGGCGGTATCGATGCTTTTGGGCGACGGTCGTAGTGAAGCAATCCGTTTCTATCAAGGCTGGCAAAGGTGCAAGGTTGAAGTCCCCGATTGAAGGTGGGTTGGCTGGACGTTAACGTACAGGGCCTTGCGAGTTGAGGTTAGGAAGGCGCTGTACCTAACTGCGTCGGTGGACAAGCGCAAGGTACGGACGGCCAGGTTGGTGGGGGAGCAAGCCAGGCAGGCGGTCAGTGTGGGGCGATGGCGGACCTGTGAGGTACCACGGATGAGTCCCTGAGGCTGTTAAGTCCGACGTGGAGCATCTCCGATAAGCGGAAAGATCCACCAAGAATCTGAAAGTCCGCCGCCATGGGGATAGACTCGATTAGTAAGCTTAGGCTTTCCTGCTCACCTCAGATTTTTGGTTCCAAGGGATTCGACAGGACGTACAGAGTAGGCATCAATGATTCATGAATCATAGCTTCTTCTTCGTGTTTTGCCCACCATCTGAATGGCACGATTTATTCTTCTACATCAAATGTCTTCAGACATCCTGATGTAATCTAATCAGCAATATGGGGAAGCCATCTAAGGAACAGCACCAAGGCACAGCATGGAAGTTGGTGCAGACTGCCTTTGCGCCGCAGGCCGAAGGTCGATGGAACTCAGAAGACCCCTAAGACCCTTGTTTTGATGAATTTCTCCCTCAATATGAAGCTACTGGGGCTTCAGATGAACGGGATGAAACATACGTCATTGGGGTGGCGATGGGGACCTTGGAAACCAACCTAAGTTTTACTTCAAACACGTGGACACATAGTCTGTGAACCTGCTTGCTTGGAAGGCCGCTCAGAATCTTGACCTTTAGCCATACTCGAGGTTAACAATTACAGTGTGGATCACACTTGGAACAACAGAGAGAACATTGCAAAACTGCCTCCTTGTGTCAATTAGACTAGATACGAGACCAATTTGTGTAACTGGGCGTCTTGCTGAAATTGCAGACCACCACAAGGGTATTTCCGTGCCTTTCCATTTCGCGTTTCGTTCCTTTGTCCCCATTTGTCCCCAACGCCAGAAAAATCCATAATTCTAGTAGTACAGTCAGACCAAAGTCTAGAGAGGGTACGGGGTCCATCTTGGTCGGCGTGAAGATGTACAGCGAGGGAAACGGTATCTGTCTTGCATCCGTTCTTGCCCATAACTTGCATCGACCAAGATCCGGTGTCCTCAAAGCACAGCCATCCAAGGTTGCCCTTAGTCTCACTTGTATATGCAAAGATCCCCAAGGACTGAACATGGGTATGATCGCTCAGTCCAGGGCAGACGTCTCAAAGGCGGGGGATGCCATTTGACCCATCACTCAGCCGCCGAGATGTACTCGGAGTAGTAGCCTCGCCATCGCTGTCAGAGCTGCCTCTTGTTCGGCTAGTGCTACCAACGCTGCGGTTGGCCAACCGGCTGCGCTCGACTTCCTCGCGGCTCTTATTCATGAGCCATGCCATGTGCATCTTGAGGATGCCCAGGTTGCTCCTGATCTCGGTGATCTGATCCTTAATCGGCATGACCTGGTTCAGTACCATCACTGTTTGACGGCCCTCAAGGTCTGTAAACTCTTTCTTGAGCTCCTCCATGCGACGTTCCATGTCTTCGTAGATAGTCATGACGGCCTCGGTGGGTTTGAACTTTGGTCCGCCTTGGACGTTGTTGAGGCTGAACACGTCGTCCCAGGAGATACAATCTCGTCGCTCGTCTTTCATGGCCATGATTTGTCTCTCCTGGTCTTCCGTCTGCTTCTGCAGTTTTTCGATTTGTTTCTCTTGTGATTTAGCCTTTTCGCCAACGACAGCAACCACCCTGTAGATACACTCCTCTTGATGCGCAGCCAGTGTCTTGCGGAGTGCCTCGTGTTTGCAACCAAAGTCATGGTATGTGCAAGGGACCGAAGTTTCCGGGCAATGATCGTCGCGATGCTGGCCTATCTCGGAAAGCTTGATGGTTTCTCCACACTCCGTGCAGTCCGTTGTGTTTTTCGGGCAGACTTTATTGATGTGGTCGGCCATTGACGCTGCTTCCATTTTCTCCTCGCAGTATTCGCATGTCTGCTCAAAGTGCCAGCACTTGCCAGACACAGCCAACCATTGTTCCACCCTCTTATCACATGTCTTCTCGGGGCAGTCGTGCAACGTGTATCGGCAACTGATTGTGTGCTTGACGACCTCGTCGCGCTTCATCTTTTCGCCACATCCTCGGTCAGTATTAGGGCATTCGACAACCAGGCTATCGAGGATATTCGTCAAGAGTCTCGATGTTTTGCAGTCCCTGGCTCGGAATCTCGTCCGGTCGATAGGGCATGTATCGGATGAGTGAACATGGCGCTTCAGACATTCGAGACAAAAGGTGTGGTCGCAAGGCGTAATGATCGGGGTGATGACGGGCAGCTTGCAGATGGGGCAGAGTAGGTTATCGTCGGGTTCTTCGACATAGTTGAGGGCGGAGAAGTCGAGAAGATCCTTGACGTGACTAGGACTGATGGAGTATCGCAGGGCCTCCCGGGTCGCAAGCTCTTCGACGGGCCACTGGGTAGGGGTTCGAGCTGTTTGTCTAGGTGTTAGCTAATTGGACCCGGAGCTGGATCCGGGTGATTTCCATCAACTCACGCGTCAGAGGGATTGGGACTTCCTCGACGGAGCGTACGGCATCCTCGACGAGGTTGTGGACAAGATGGGTGATGGCCGCGTCTTCGTTGGGGAAGCCGTGATAAGACATGGTGAAGGTCTCTCCTCTCGTTATCGGTTGCGGCGCGCTTGGTGTAGCAGAGAGGATTACGAGATGTCTAGGAGGACCATGTTTAGGGCCAGAGCAGCTGAGAGAGGGGGGGGGCCAAGCTGCGGTGTTTTCCTTGTGATGTGGTGCGGACGGTAACGGAGGTACGGGATTTGCTGCGGTTGTGGATATCGTCTGGTGGCGCAGAGGGCGATACTCCGGGGGGCAGGCGCGGGTGAAGAAAGTGGAGGATTAGAGATCTAATTGAGGCCCAATCTCCAATCCAAATAGACTCTGAGGGAAGCACTGAGGCACTGGAGGCTCTCGGCAACAGGTGGGAGGGTGACGTGACTCGAGCCGAGGGTCCATGTCCCCGATAAGCCGATAACGCTGAGGAAACGGCCGCTAAAACGCCGTGTGACTAAGCTTCGCACGGCTAAGAAACACAGTCCCCGCACATGGCATTGTCTGCCAAACTGCATGTGCTCGCTTTAGGCGATTCCTCACTTTCGTGATGAATAAGATGTTTCGTACATGGAGAAATGCAGAGACCCATATTCCCGTTCCCGATGATAACGTCGCTAGAGACCATCCTAATTCGAACCAACGTCGCAAAGATGGAAATCCCATTCTCAATACTGGGCTGTCGACTGTATGGCTCCACAGTTCAACTTAGAACGTGTCGGCGAGCGTTGGCCTCTCATTTATATGGTGTCTAGCTTGGTGCGAAGGAGCCCAGGTATTACTGGCAAAAACACTTTCGGACATATCCCTTGTAAGGTATTGAAACCAAAATCCAAATACGATAGGAATTCAGGTATCAAATCATCAATCTTGTCATCCAACCTAGTCATCTACAGGTTTGGAGCCCATGTTCCTCCGCGCCCCCAATCCCCAGCTTTAGGGGCCTTTGGTGTACGTCTATAGGCGTCCGGCAAGATCCCCTCGAGAACTCCCTTGATCTGCAAAGCAATCACCTTTGAAAACCACCGGTGCTGGGCCGTCCCACCAGCAAACATCCAGAGGTTGTCGACCCCGGGGTGCCGCTTCCAAAGCCCACGTATCTCGCCCTGGGCGTCCACACCCCACGTGGGCTCAAGCCGTCTCGCGATGTCTTCGGCTCCGATTCCCAGAGTATCTGGGAGATTCTTTCGACCATCAACATTGCCGAAACCAATGCACCAGACTACGGCATCAGCCTCCAGATGACTACCATCGGATAGTACTAGGCCCTTGTCGGTGTAGGACTGGGGTACGACCCCGGATCGAATACCGACCTTCCTCGTCGCGATGAGGTCCATGCCGCTGCCCATGTCTACAAAGTGCCCTCCGCAACGGTCGATGAGGTTCACGAGCAGGTCGCCAGTCAGCGAGTCTTGCACGCGGAACCCTGCTCTCCTAGCCTCTGCGTATCGATCCCTGAGTGGTAGAAGTTAACAAGAGGATAAGGTTACAGTTCCGGGGGCTGTACGTACGGCTCTTCCTGGGCTTGCATCGTGTGCACCAGACCCAGGAGGGCTCCACCAATGGCCAGCGGCCCTCCGTTCACAATCACGTCCGCGTCGTCAGGAGGGAGGATGTCGTAGACCCCAAAGCCCATTGGGTGGGCAAAATACGTCATCGGAACGACATACGTCTCTGATCGCTGGACCATGGTCGTCTTGAGACCGGCATCGTGGCAATCGACCAAGACATCGAATGCAGTGTTCCCAGAGCCGATAATGGCCACGGACTTTCACGTGGCAAGGAAGGCATTAGCAGCGCGACCAGACTTCCTCATCCACTCCCCGGAGATACTTGTTATCAGAACTTACCTTCGCCCCGGCTGCGACCAACTCGCTAGCATTGCGATACGATGCCGAGTGCATGTTAGGACCCTTGTATAAGTCCCGGCCTGGTAGATCTGGCAGGGGCGCAGGCCCCGCGAAGCCGGCGCCGCCCGTGGCGAGGACCATGCATTTGCAGGATAGGGTGCGTCGAAGAACCCCCGTCTGTATCTCAACATTCCATGTGTTACTCTGTTGGTTGTACTGGGTTGCAGCAATTGTCGTACGGTGTAGAACACGGCGGTCTAAGTCGAACTCCTTCGCGAAAGCCACTATCTGGTCGGCTAGCTGATCCCGTGTGAGGCCATCATTGGAAGCCTGGGGATACGCTAGTCCAAACTGTTAGTAAAATCACGAGAGTCCCTTTATTATCTTAGGGCCACGAAGATTGAGTTAGGAGATTTCTCGTTGGAGGATCGCCCTAGGGTTAGGGTTATGATCTTGCCACCTTCTTGCCCCATCCCCATTCGATACGTCCGTCGATGTTTGAATGACTATAAGATCCAAGTCTGCCTCTATGGGCTTGGGCTTACTCACGAATGTATGGTGTTTCGCAAAATGACTTGTAGACGTGGAAGCGCATGCAGTCGTATCTCGACGCCCAATTGTCCCCCACGTTTGCGCTCCGGTCGATCACGACATAGTCGATGTTCATTGCCTTCAGTCGAGCGGCCAGAATCAAACCTCTGTAATGTCCTTTGTCAAATGCAGGTTAGCGATCAGGAAGGTCCTTTTAGACTTACGCGTTGCCCCCGCCGACAACCAGCACACTCGTAGAGATGGGGTTGTCGGCCGTTATAGGAGCCGAAGGGACTCTGAGCAGACCCTCATCTTCGGGGAAGTCTTCGTACGCGGCCATATATGTGCTCATGGACCAAATCTTCCATTCGTTGTCGCCCGAGTCACGACCGCCAGGAATAAGCATCATCTTTCCGCGGCAGTAAGCCTTGGGAGAACCAGTCACAAAGCTGAATTCGCAGTCGATCCATTTCTAAAGGAGAGATTATCAGCATCGGGATAGAGGCCAAAGGCTTCGTTTTTCTGCACTGACAAGCTCACTGGTGGCTGACAAAACCTGTGCCTTCTCGAACTGGAAACTCTGTGCCTTCCGAAGAGCGAAGAGCTCCAGTAAAGCCGATGCAATGACACCTCTGCCAATGAAAGTTCTGATGTGAGCTGTAAAAGATAGTGTGTCTTTCCAGTGACAGGATGGTTCGGCGAAAAAGGCTTCAATGGCATGGTGTTGCCCCTGCTGAAGAGTATTTGAGAGGCCCGATCCCACGTCGTTTGCGATCTTATCGGCATTGACGGTGTCCCAGTTGTCTAGTAACTCTGCCGTATTCGGAAGTGTCTCGTAAACCTCCTTCCTGATGTCGACCTTGGGAGGATTATCTGGTAGCTCCATAATGGCGTCTACCACTGCGTGCTTCCGTCTCGTGGTTCTCGTTGAAGTTTTGACACCAAGCTTGCAATCCCAGGCATGGCAGCGGGAGGGGCAATATGATATTACTTATGTGACATCCCTCCATATAGGATGAAACCTCGAGTATACATGTGTGCTTATCGAGTATCACGGACGGTCTTGCAGCAACCTGCAGGTCATGTTGGCCGGCATCTCCAACATAGCATTCGGGGTAGGCGGATACCAGCGAGGCTTGGGGAAGGCCGTAAGACGATTCCTTCGTGGTAAGATAGGTAGCTTGCCCACAAGGCAATGTAGGATTTATTGGGGAAGTGCAGCATTCCGCTATTCTGCCTCCAACCAAGCAGAAGGTTAAAAGTCGCACAAGATGGCGTACACTTGGCTTGTGGTTGCATAGAGACGGTGTCCGTGACGATACGCTGACGCAAGATGTGCCCTGAAGCAGTAAATTGATAGGACGAAAAGGCCGAAGTATCTGACGAGCGTCTGCTATACGCCCAAATATTTTATCCTTGGGCAAATGTTGTGTCCCTCGACGATTTCATTAGTGCTTACCCTGTGCTGTGAAACTAGCTAATTAGCAGGAGCAATAGCATTTCTTCGGGTTACACGGGCATTGAGGAGAAACATGCAGCCTTGATCCTTTATGTAAGGTCGTAATACTCCTTAAAGGAGGGGAAAAGTAATAACTAGTACTAGAGTGAACCTTGCCATACTGTGCTATCTACCGCTGCCTCTTCTGCATAAAGCTCATCGATTGAGAGTGAACGCGCAGAAAGGTATTGATATTTCGTGACTTCCTAGCAATATCGGTTGCTCAAAGAGAAATGAGGTAGTTATATTTATCTTGTGTCTCATCGATTTGGCTCATCCAAGGGTAGTATGTCATCTAGCCATTTGGAACTAAGCATAGGCTTGTATACCTTGCGGCCTATAAGTTTCCCTGACACCTCGATGCCTTGTGGAGTACACGATTCAGGCTGACTTTCCCTTCCTTAGTTCCGATACTGGTATATGTTACTCTTTTCCACTTCATATGGCAAAACTCGAGTGTTCCGCGGCCAGAGGATGTTGAATCGAAGTTCGCAGCAATGAGGTAAAGTACCTACTTAGGCAGAGTGGCAGATTAGATAGAGCACAGCGATAAAGCTCCCATCGGCCGGTCCCACGCGCCAAGATGCTTGTGACACCCCGCGACGCCCGGGATACCCTTGTTGATGAACACGAACGGTGGCGCAGCAGCTTCCCCTAGCTACCTATTCGCCCTGGAGGATGAGCGAATGGACGAATGGCACAACGTCATCCCACCACAAGGGCGGCGGCATGGCCAGACAACTTCCCCAAACAGCACCTAGCAAGACCAGCTCGCCCAGCCATCTTGTTCCGCCGGTTACGAACACCTCTAGGCAACGAGTTAAATGACCTCTGGGCTTGTTGCCTTCTTTTGTACGCTTAGTTTGTACACTACTCTGCACAACTCGTCAGCTCCAACCTGAGGCGAACAACCAGTAACCCCCTCCCCCGCAGCTCCGCAGCTGAGCTTATCTTAGCTCCCTTCAGCTCTCCAACCCCTTCGTCTCACCCCGAATCTTCATCTCCAACAGCTTCCTTGGATCTCCCATCCATACCTTGTCACATCCCACAACATACACATCGCCCATCGCCCATCGCAGCTTGCCGGACGCCGGCCGACCAGACAGACACAATGCCTCCTTTCCCCATGCCACCCCACGATATCTGGAGCCAGGACGCCTTCCAGCACCCGTCCTACAACCCGACACCGATCCCCCGTCGGCCCCACCCCAAGCCCCAGGCCGGCGCAAGCAGCAGCAGCAACAGCAGCAGCAGCACCCGCGCCAACGTCAACACCCGGTCCTCTGAACCTGGCCCTAGCGACGCTGTTACAAAGGAGTTCTTCAAGCACTCGAGTGCCAAACGCGTCAACACCGATGCCCTCATTTCAAAGGCCCTCAAGGAACAGTATCCCCATCTCGAGCTCGTCGTAGTTCCAGAGTCCCTTGGCTACGGCAACGGCTGCAACCTTCTCGCCTACGCCCAAGGCGGCCACGCCACGTTCGAGGTCATCGATGACAAGGATGGCAGCAACCTGCCTTCGTCCCTGGACTGGCTGCTGTACCTGCCCCCCTCCCGGCGCATGGACGGCAACCTCGGCGGTCTGGCTACGATCACGAATTTCGGCAAGTACCTCTACAAATGGCAGGGCCACGAGTTCATCGTCTACCTCGTGGACGGGCGCGACGGCGTCATGCCCTACCCGATCAAGAACTACTACATCCTCGCGCCGCAAACCTACCACGTCGACCAGCTCGTCCTGTCCGCAGGGAAATGGAGCAGTGACCTCCACGAAGAGGTGTGGGTGTTTGACCAGGGGTACTGGCAAAAGAGCCACGAGCTGTTCAAGAGCTTCCGCGATGCTTCGTGGGAGAACGTCATCCTGGACGCGGACATGAAGAAGGCGCTCATCGAGGATCACCTGTCCTTCTACAACTCAAAGGAGACGTACCAAAGCCTGAAGGTACCGTGGAAGCGTGGGCTCATTTACTATGGGCCGCCGGGCAATGGCAAGACCATATCGATCAAGGCTACGATGAACATGCTCTTCCAGAAGGATATCCCGACTCTCTACGTGCGCACGTTGGCTTCCTTCATGGGGCCAGAGTACTCCATTCAGCAGATCTTTGGCAAGGCTAGAGAGTATGCGCCGTGCTACCTCGTGCTGGAGGATCTCGATACCATTGTCTCCGATGACGTGAGGAGTTATTTCCTGAATGAGATGGACGGTCTCAAGGCCAACGATGGAATATTTATCATTGGCAGCACCAACCATCTCGACCGCCTTGACCCCGGCATCTCTGTAAGTTGTTCCATCGCGAGCCAAAGTCGTGTATCCACAAGGTCGAGAGCGCTGACACGCAGCAGAAACGTCCATCCCGCTTCGACAGGAAATACTTCTTCCCCGACCCCAACCTCGAGCAGCGCATCGCCTACTGCCACTTCTGGCAGAACAAGCTCAAGAGCAACAAAGAAATCGACTTTCCCGACCAGCTTTGCGAGGCCATTGCCAAGATCACTGACAAGTTTAGCTTCGCCTACATCCAAGAGGCCTTTGTGGCTGCCCTGCTTGCCATTGCGCGACGCTCAGACCACCGCGGTAGTAGGAAGCTAGACAGCGTCGAGGCTTTGACGGAGCAGCTTGAGGATGATTGGCTTGGGGTTGTCAATGATGCTGAGGACGATGGCGACTTGAAAAAGTTGACGTTGTGGGTCGAGATTAAGAAACAGATTGAGATCTTGAGGGATGGTATGGAGGAGAAGAACTAGACTTTGCATCGATTGGTATCCCAGGACTGCATATGGATGGACATGGCTTCGCGTTGATCGAGGTGTACAATAACAGCATAATTCTGAATGATTTGAACAAAGACGAAGACATTCTAGGGGTTGTCTAGGAGTGATATTGGTGCCGCTGCGGAAGTGGAAGTTGCAGTGGCTGTACTGTTGGCAGCTGGTCCACTACGCAGTCGATCGGCTGCTTGGGTGAAGAACGAGTCAATCCGAAGAGTGACCGGAAGAAGTAGCAACTCTGAGATCGAATCGACTTGTTGATTTAGTCGCTGCAGGGTGTCGTGGAAGCTCTCCAGTAAGTTGAAAGCCGATGTGACATCGCCAGGCTCAGTCGCCAGCACGAACAGGTAGATGATAAAGTTACCGCAGAGTATCAGTTGAGATCGGGCGTCTAGGGATGGCATAGATGTCACTACACTTTCTCTCAACTCTCTGTAGGAGAAAAGGGAGACGGAAACGTACGGCAGCCCCAGAAGCCTCGTAGGTCCTCGGGGGTTAGTTCACCTATGAAGTCCGTGAAGCAAGCAAAGTCGGATAGTGCCGTGCCGAACCACAGGCGAAGGTTGGATGTTGGCATTGCTTTGGCAACCTTGGTAGCCGGGTTCATGAGCGCGCGGTAAAGGAGCGCCAAATGAGCGTAATATGCAAGATAGAGAGGGGCTTTTCCCGTCAGGTCTGCAACCCCGCCAGAAGATTATTGGAAACATACCATTGTTGGAGATACCTGGTGCTCTCTCGGGATGAGGCATTGTAAGACATTGTGGCAGCATCATCAACCAGTTGTGCAGCTCTCCCTGAAGCGAGACTAGACGCCCTCGATTCTGCATTTCTATCTTCTGTGATTCTGGAGGCGCAAGCCTAGGAACCTGACTGAGCCAAGCATCAGTCCTCTATCACCGGAGTCAAAGGAGAATCTCAGACCAGAAGGTACTTACAAGCTGCAGTCAATCACATCTCGCAAGGTTTGGGTCACCCTTACCAACTCCAGAAACCGCGCTCCAGAAGCAACATTAAATCCAACATTACCCGAATAAACCAGCGATCTTAAGTCCTCGGGAACGCTCTCCTCGGATCGCAAATCTTCTATAGTGATAAGTGATGTGTTGAAAGAAGCAGGATAGATATGTGGCGGGTTTCCATGGCACACTGCCGACCACAGGTCAGTTACATATGTAGCCCACCAAAGCTTCCTTCGCAGCCTCTTTTCCCACGTCGGCAAATTCCACTTCTCAGCATCCTGGTGCAGCCCAATCATCTGGGCAGCGGCTACGGCCTGCGCTGTTGATGTCCAGGTCCTAGGATGCGCGATGCTGTCTGTTCTATTGGGGGTCATATGGAGGAGGAGCAGGGATGCTTGGAGCTTGGCCAAGTTTGGTGAGTCGAGTTCTCGCTGGAGAGAGTCTGTGGCAAGATCGGCTAGCTCATATTGTTGGAAAGGGAATGGGCCATGTAGACTCGGCTCGGCTTTCCAAAAGACTGAGGCTAGTGCGTATACTGCCCCGCGAAGGGAGGCAGGAAGCTTTGTCTTGTCCTCAGAGTACTGTCTGAGAAACCTGGTCTTTGATAGGATGGGCAGCACCGGGTGAATGTGCCTGAAATACAGGCGTACGAGCTTGCGGCCGTGAGGCTCGACTAATTCTTCTATCGCACGAGATGCTTCTTTCCGGGCTTCGTTATCGTGGGCTGTGAACTCGTCTTGTAAGAGACAGAAGTGAACTGGCGGATCCCACGGGTATCCGCTTCCTTCGTATAACTGAATGAACTCTGCGTCGATCTGATTGGGCCCGCTGAGGACGTCTGAGCGGAAGGAGGCGAGGAAGTGGGTGTCTTGCTCGGCTGCCGGGCCCATGCTGTGTGCTGTCCTGTTTTCATTGTCTTCTAGTGTCTGAAGATGGGGTGCTGGAATCTCCTCGATCGGGTTACTACGAGTCGAAGGGCCTAAGTTGTTTGGCGTTATCCGTGGACAATCTGAGCTACTGGAATGTCCATCTTGCGCGGCCTCTTGAGGGGAGGGTGCGAACGCGGATGCAGATACAGATGCAGATGCAGATGGAGCCGACGCAGAGTCAATACTTTCCGAACCCGATGACTTGCATTCTATGCCTCTCCCCTTGCAGAAAAGACCTGCGTCTTGTTATCAGCCATGCATCGTTTCGACACGCAGACCTGGAACCACACCACTAACATGGGGGTGTAGAAGTGATAACACACGCTGTCTTTCTCTTCCGACACGCGTCGCAAGGGCGGTTCTTTCGGCTTCTTGATTGTCTTGCTTGGCCAAATTCGCTGAACACTTTGAATTTACGTCTAGTGGAATACTTCCCGATATCTTTAGGCATGGTGTCTATCAAGACTCTGCCGAGGGTTCGTGACAAGTTTGGCCGATGGTCTGGTGTTGTGTGAGGGAAGTTGGCCGATGGAGTTGGCCGATGCCGATACCGCCTGTGCGTGTTTAGGTTGTCAGTGTTAGTGGCTGACATGCGGGACCTGTCGCTGCAACGCTAGGGCGGGGTGATAACATGCTCCGCCAGCCAATGGGGTTTAGCCCCCTTTCTCATATTACAACCGGGATTTTCATTCTTGCCATTGTTTTTACTACTGTTGTTATCACAATACTCCTCGCAGCTATATCATTACGAAGCTCCTAGTACGTATTTCAGAGACTATGCTGAAGTAAGGTAAGTAGCTTGAGAATTACAGCACTGAGTAGGAAGCGGAGGTGATAATGGCAGATATAGATTTGAGGATGTGAACTATAGCTATGCATCTTTCTTGAAGGGCGCGGCGGAGTTTACTCTCTTGCCTCCATGTCCAGAAAGCACTTGGAGAATTTCAGGCGTCTCGGCCAGTGTCACATCCCACTTGCTCTGTTGCATTTGTTGGAGTTCGCGAGCTGAGGGCGCATCTTTCACAAAAGCATCTAGGCTCCTCGCCGGAGAAAGCCTATGGAGCAAGACGTACACCAACCCGCTCGAAAAGAGCCCATAGATGTATGACATAGAGTACAGCTCTGTGGCACTTTCGCTCACAGTTACTGAGCTGTCAACGGCAGCGATGAAGCCAGGCATGCAGGGCACAACACCAACAAGCCACTAAAGAGCGAGTCAGCAAATATTCTAGTCAGGTAAAGATGGAAGGGAGTAACTCACTGCCACTGGTGCTCGCCAATTGTAACCGCAGGAGAACCAGTAGATGCTCCCTGAGTCGCCACGGTATAGGTGGTCCACGTTCACCTTGCTCTTATTAACAAACAAGTAGCTAGATATCATCAACCCCGTCATCGGAGCCAAGAAGACACTATAGCTCGACAGGACTGTGAGAAAGATTGTTGCAGTGTTCACAAGACGCCATGGGTTGACGACAACGCTGAAAATTGCGGTGATGTAGGCCCCACGACGGATGTTCAAGTATTTGGGAAACGTTGCAGCCAAGTCAAAACCGCCGGCAAGTGCATTTCCTGGTACATTGACTCCGATCTGGGATATCACAAGACAGAGCCCCGCGAAGAAGCAGGCTGCCCGTGTTCCAGCTGTTTCGTCTTGGGCCAGCAGCTGAGAAAAGAGAGTAGGCGGGTTCCAGATGGCCTCGCCACCAAAACGCTCCTGAGTCGCCGCTGTAACGAGGATGCCAATCAACGAGCTGAAGATGCTATAGAAAGGGAATGAGATAGCTTGGCCTACGATGGCGTGCTTAGGCTGCGTAGCGAAGCGAGAATAATCGTTCTGGTTCAGAATACCCGCTGCAATGGAACCGATTGTTGATACGATGCCGTAGATCATCAGCCAAGCCACGCTGTCCGGTCCGCCTGTGTTGGGTAGGACCGATCCTGAAGTAATGGTATCGCCGAAACCTGATGGTCCCATGGTCGCAAGAGCCCAGATGAGGAGTACGACAAAGAAGACAAGGGTGATGGAGCAGGCAAAGTGGAAGAACTTCTCGAGGCGGTGCGGACGGATCCAGATGACTGGGAGAGAAATGACGCTGAAGATAATGTATGAGACAAATTGGGCAGTTGTCATACCCGTGTCCGCTGGCATGCCGTTGGGAATGTGGGATTCGAGCCTTGGGTCCCAGGAAAGGAGGATCACGTAGATACACTCTCCTCCGACCCAGGCAGTGAAGCCATACCTGTGTATGTTTGGTTAGTGAGGATAAAAATGTCGCAGATTTTGGTCAAGGGCTACGAACCAGACTACACACAGGCAATGTTAATTTCCGATTGATCCATGTCATGTTAAGTAGTTGTACGCCGAGTAGGAAGACTTACCAAGGGATAGAAAGATACGATTCCAGATAACGAATTGTGATCCCCACATGCCCCATACTGCTCGACTGAAGACAGGGAAGCCAACTGAGTAGAATTAACAACCCAGAACGAGTGTAGTAGGTTGTACTTTGTAGACTTACTGTGATAGTAGCTGCCCGGAAGTGAGTTGATAATCACGACGGCGGTGGCAATAAGATTGCCAAGAATAATACCTTGAAACACATTAGAAAGAGCTCCACAATAGCGGAAGAGGAATCAGACTCACATATAAAGGCCTGCCACCAAGTCAAACCCAGAGGGATGAGGGCACTGCCGGTCAAGTAGGTGGTGATATTGCAGTTGACCAAAAGCCCTTGGAATCGGTTAGCATAAAGAAGACTTGGTACCCATGAAATTCACGCACAAAAGTTGTGAAACGTCAAGAAGCCCCATGTACGTCTTTGAGCTTCAATCGGTCGAATGTCATCGTTCTGTCAGATCTTGCGTTAGTATTGCCTTGACTAGCTACCCACCTCTAACAGCCGGCGACATGAATGATGTGCGGACGTGGGCCGGGTTTACGTACAATCCAGCGGGAAACATAGGGAAGTTCCACCCGCTTCAAGGCGGCTTGCAGCCCCATTGTTTCCTTCGATGTTGGTTATTCTGGAACCTGGATTAAGCAAATGAAATGATGTTGCAGAGAGTTGTAGACGAATGGGGCACTGTCTGTTCGAGTCCTTTCGCTTCGGGCATAAGTGCGACACGACATGGAGACATGCATGATTTGAAGAGGAGTTCCCGTGAAGATATAAAGGTTGGTCTATGGTGGTGTTATCTCGGCACTCTGCAGCCATCCCACGTTGCGCTAACAAGGATACTTATCACTCTCTGGGGCATTTTCGGAAGTTCCAGTTGGTGTTATCTCGACTTAGGGGGAAGAGCACAGGGCCTCGGCTGGGGATGACCCTTGTCCGAGCTGAAGTTGGCCGATCGATCGGCCAACTTGGAGGTCGCGAACCGCTCAGGCGGGGCCCTCCTGGCGACTGAGTTCCTCCACTTACACGGACACCGGTAGTTGGCCTAAACTCCTTGATCATTTAACATCTCGTTTGTGTTGTTGTCGGCCAACTTCTTATCGAAGCCTCGGTTTACTGGGCCTGTCTTGGTTTAACCTCCTTTTCTTTAAGAGATTTATCATCCGCCATCACGAGAAGAGACACCGGAAAAAAGGACCTCACCATCGAACGCATACCACGCCATTTACCTGTCCGCAGTCAGCCTCCCCCTTCACTCAAAACAACATACCGCTGTTAATCTATCATGTCTCTTTACCGCATAGGTGTCGACGTGGGCGGCACAAACACCGACGCTGCCATCCTCGACATTACAGCCGCAGAGACACCAGGTCGCGGTGTGCTGGCTTCCCACAAGGCCTCGACTACACCAGATATCACCACTGGCATAGAAGCTGCAATCCGCGCTGTCATTCAGAGCTCAGCAATCGACCAGAAACGAGTACTGAGTGTAACCATAGGCACAACGCACTTCATCAATGCACTTGTTGAGGCTGACACGCGACGGCTTAGCAAGGTCGCTGTAGTCCGTCTCTGTGGGCCCTTTACAAGACAGATTCCCCCATTTTCGGACTTCCCCTCTGGCCTTCATCGAATTCTCGATGGCGGAGTCTACTATCTCGATGGAGGGCTGGAGATCGATGGTCGGGAGATTGCGCCGCTCGACCATGAGCAGATTCGCCAGGCGGCAAGAGATATCGTCGCGTCTGGGGTGAGATCAGTTGCCCTAGTCGGCATCTTTTCACCGCTGGATCATTCTGGTCTGCATGAAGAGACTTGTAAAAAGGTCATGCTGGAAGAAGTGCCCGGTCTCGACGTGGTTTGCTCCCACGGCATAGGCCCGCCGGGTCTTTTGGAGCGAGAAAACGCGACAATTCTCAATGCCGCAATTCTGAGAACTGCACACAAGGTCACTAGAGGCTTCAAAACCGCGATAGCACGGCTGGAGCTTGCGTGTCCGCTATACCTGTCGCAGAACGATGGCACACTCATCGATGCTGATACGGCAGCCGAGTTCCCCATCAAGACCTTCGCCAGCGGTCCGACAAATAGCATGACTGGAGCGGCTTTTCTCGCCGGACTCGATCAAGCGAAGAAGATGACCACAGATCCTACCGATACCTCGGAAAAGGGGAAAGTGGAGCCTCAAGTGCTCGTCGTTGACATCGGTGGCACAACAACAGACGTATGTGCCTTGCTGCCGTCTGGCTTCCCTCGACAGGCGCCTGGCTTCGTGGAAGTCGGTGGTGTGAGAACGGCATTCTCAATGCCCGAGGTCGTCTCAATTGGACTAGGTGGCGGCAGCAAAGTGAAGATGGACTCCGAATTTGGGGTTGTCACAGTTGGCCCAGGGTCAGTTGGACACTTCCTCACTGAGCAGGCGAGGATCTTTGGCGGTCCAACACTCACAGCAACGGATGTTGTGGTGGCTTCTGGGAAAGCGAAGCTGGGAGACGCGAGCCTCATTAAAGACATCCCAAGCTCAACTATAAAAGAGGCGCGTCAGAAGATCAAGAAGATGTTGGAAGGTGTTATTGAGCAGATGAAGGTTTCCGCTGCCCCTGTACATGTTCTTTTGGTGGGAGGCGGTGCTCTTCTCGTCACAGACAATCTCGAAGGCGTCGAGAAGTGCATTCAGCCTATCCACCAAGGCGCCGCTAATGCCGTTGGCGCTGCTATTGGCAAGGTTTCTGGCGAAGTCGACGTGATTGAGATCCTCGAGGGAAGAGACGAAAAAGTAGTTGTTGCAGCGACGTGCCAGAAGGCTATCGATCTAGCCGTCCAGAAGGGCGCAGCTTCTACAGACGTCCGCGTTGTCGAGGTGAACAAGATGCCGCTTCAATACGTCGATAACGGAGCCATGAGGATACAAGTCAGAGCTGTTGGGAAATTGAGCGTGCCCGAGGATCCCAATACCTTCCCTGAGAGCATGGCGCCAATTGGAGAAGAGGATGAGGAGGCCGAGGTCCCAAAAGAGAGTATACCAGACGCTCTCGAGCCTACCACCAAGCCCTCCCTGCGGGTGGATCTCGAGATCTACCGGCCTGACATCCAAGCAGGGGTCTGGTATGTCTCAGAGGTAGATCTGGAGTTGATTTCTACGGGTTGTGGTGTGCTAGGAACTGGTGGCGGAGGTCCAACCCACCACGAATTCCTCAAAAGTCTGCATGTCCTACGCAACAGCGAGCCAGGCAAGATGAGGATTATATCACCCTCATCCCTCGCCGACACTGACACCGTATGCTTTGGTTCCTGGTATGGCACCCCGAGTGTTATCAACGAGAGAATTGCTGGTGGCTCTGAGATCCCCAGCGGTATCGATGCCGTGAGGAAGATCTTGGGGGATTTACCTCTTCATGGCGTTTTCATCGACGAGATGTGAGCAAAAAAGCCAAGGTTGGTTAAGAACATTGACTGACAGAGAGTAGTGGCGGAGGCAATGGTCTTAGTGTTTTCCCAACCGGCGTACACTATGACATCCCGGTCGTCGATGGTGACGCGATGGGAAGAGCATACCCAACTATGTATCAAGGTAGCAAGTGAAATCCGATAGAGAAACCATGATCAGCTAACAAAGCGTCTTGAACAGCCACGCTGAGCGTCTATGGTCACCCGCTAACTCCCTGTGCTCTCTCCGACGCAAGGGGCAATGTGTCCGTTGTGATGGTAGTTCGATTCTTCGAGTACAACCATTCTTGCATGCTGACTTGGTTCAAACATAGAGTTCCGACACGCCAATTCGCCTGGAGCGATTCCTGCGCACGGCAGCAATTGAGCTCGGCCTCGGATGCGCCGTTTGCGCTAGGCCGCTACCCGGCTCGGCCATAAAGTCCCACGGCGTCCCCAATACCGTATCGCAAGCCTGGTATCTAGGTCGTGCAGTTCATATGGCACGGAAGAGGAAGTCTAGCTATGTCGATGCCATCGTAAGTAATTTGCCACACGCGCAGCTTGGCCCTGAGTAGAGACTACCCCTGAGAAGCCCAGTAGGACTCTCTCCTACTCCTGTTTTTCATGATCCGGTTTCGAGAATCTTCGACTAATCCGCTCCCAGTTCGAAGTATGTGCTGGGAAACTTCTGTTTACAGGCAAGATCATCGATGTAAGGCGATATGTGGGTGGTGGATACACGATGGGCAGCGTCCTCATCGCCCCCCTTGCCGACGAAGAAAAGGACTCCGAGACAAAGAACACATCGCTTCCAGACTGGCATATGCTCATCCCGTTTCAGAATGAGTACCTTAACGCTGCTCTCACAGACGCAGAGGGTTCAGAAAGCGGCCATCAACAGGTGGTGTGTACGGTGCCTGATCTGATCTCGATTCTGGGCCAAGATGGGGAAGCTATCGGGTCTCAGGATCTCCGCTACGGCTTGCGTGTTAATGTTATCGCGCTACCTGCTCACCCTCTCTGGAAGACGGAGAAAGGTATGCCCGTAGGGGGACCTCAAGCCTTTGGGCTTAGCATGCCGTTCGTTGGGGTTGGAGAGTATACCGAGCCCAGGAGTGTCATTGAGGAGTATGGGATGTAGGAGAGTACGACACGTTACCCGTGGAAGGTTCTCATGGAACGGGTTCACGACCAAGAGTTGACACACAGAAATTAAGGATCACGGTAAATCTCACAAAAATCATGATGAACGGGGTTTTTTGCATTGAGAGTGCCATCCTCTGCCTCACCGCAGCGGACATTGGCATCTATGTCGGCCAATACCTGTGCCAATCCTTCGCAATGCCGTTTCCGTTTGTTCCATTAAGTCTCGTCATTCAGGGCTTTCGTCCAATCTAGAATGTGCTTGAAATGGGGAGAAAGGGGTATCTGGGTAGCTTCGAGGTCTCTACTGGCCAAAAGCACGGTAGTGACACTCCGCAGACCGCTTGACTACGCCCTAGAAGGAAGAACATTAGCCTCGAAATTCAAAGAATGACCTGAGATGACGGCAAGAATGGATTGTAAGAGCTTACCTCGCCCGTGGTGTTTTTGATGATCTTGCACCAAGGACCGTTGGCGATCTTGTTGCCCCATTGCTTCATAAACCATTCTTGGGTGTGACCACCAATCTCCGACTTGAGCTCGTAGGGCTGGTCACCATCCTTGAAAGAGATGGTCAACTTGCCGCCCGAGTTGTCAGTGGTGACCAGCTCATGAGGAAGCTTGACAGGGTCTCCGCCATCACTGTCTCTGTTCGTGACAACGTTGACCTCCTTTCCTTCCTCAATCTGGACTATACTGACTGTGGCAATATGCTTCGAGTTGCTATCACCCAAGTTAATGTCCTGAGTGATGCGAACGATGCGCCAAATCGCAGCCGTGGAGGTTGGGGCGGCGGCCGAGGGCATGACAGTCAGGGTGACATCGATGTCGTTAGTGACGGTGACTTCGGCAGTGGCGGTGACCCAGACGACAACCTTGCTCTTGGGAGAAGTATAGTTGCTGGCAGGAGAACCAGACGTCGAGGCCCCACTGGAGGACTGACCGCCAGTGGAGCCGGACATCGAGGCTTGGCCGGAGGACTGCCTACCAGGGGAGCCGGCCGAGGCAGACGCGGAAGCGGGAACGGAACCGGAAGCCGAAGCTGAGCCACCGGAAGCCGCAGCAGACGACTTTGCAGGGGCGGCGGGCATTGGGCATGACTCGCTCCCATTCTCGTCGCGCTTCAGCTCGGTGCCCGGGGGACACCAGGAGAACTCGTAGACCGGCCAGGTCTCCCAATAGACCTTGATGGTAGGCTTGCAGATCTTCGTGCCATCAAGGAGCACTTCCACGACGTGGGCTGGATAATACTGCCACCAGATGAGGCCATAGGGCGGGACATAGTTGTTCATCGGATGATTCTCGTCCGCATTGGGCCAGTACCCAGGACCTTTGTGGTATCCCACATTAGTGAACTTGTCCGCGGGAAAGCCAAGGTGGTTCGAGACCCAGTCTTTCCATTCCTGAAGCCGTTGGGGATGTCTAGGCGGCAAGTAGTCGGGATAGTTCGGGGGTACCGAATTGCTCCATTGACCACCAGTGAGGGGGTAGATAAAAATGACTTGGAGAGTGTCCTCGGGGATGTTGTCGAAGATCGGGGTCGTTTCCTTGAGTTGCTCAATTCCAGGATAGGGTGTCTGGAACTGACCTCTGGTACCGTCTTCAGGATCCGGTATCGGGTTACCAGGTCTAGGCGGCGGAGGATTCGTCAGTCTGTTTGGTCTGTTCGGTTGCAAAATGAATTCGCCATCGCCAGGTCGGTCACCTGAGCCGGTCTCCAGGAACTCGAGAACGCCCTCTCGGAACTCCTTATCAATGTCGTACTCCCCGAAGCCTTGGTTCCAGAAGTTGGGAACCTCCCAGACGTGACTGGTGTAGATGCCTCTCTTCGTAATGATGATGATTCCGCTACAACCCCAGAGTGGTCCGGTACCTCCCATCATAGGCTGGTCTCCCCAGACGTCGGCATGCATGGTGGAATAACCAACCAGCTTCTTTGCACCATCGACAAAATCGCCAAGAGGTCTCCAATGATCCAGACCATCGCAGTAGTGAGCCAAGTACTTCCAAGCGCGGTCAAACCAGTTTTGTTTACCCGCAGACCAGGTCGCAAAATCTGTGAGTCCATCAGGTCCGCCGAGAATCTCAGGGTCTGGCTGAGGATCCCATTTGACGAATTGGGAACGTTTCGAGAGCCCTGCTCTCTTGTCCTTGCAGCTTTGGCAGCTCGAGTCAACACCGCCACAGTAGCTCTCTGTAGGGGTTGCGGACACAGTCGTGATTGTCGTCGTTGTGGTAGTATCAACGGTGGTGCTGCAGACAATGGAGGGTCTGCAGGTGGCTGTGTTACAGCTGGTGGTGAAGCTCGTAGACTAGTCGGAACCGATGATAGGGCTGGCAGTACATCCCTGGTTGCAGTCGGGATAGACGGTGGTGGTTGCTGTGCAAGACGCTTCAGACGAGGAAGTAGGGGTCTCAGATGGCTCCGATTCGTCTTCGGGATCCTCGGGATCGGTAGGGTCGTCCTTCCTGACTTTGCGAGGCTTACCCTTGGGCTTCTTGGGAGGCGGCTAGTTATTTTCATCAGCGGGTGCGTCGAGAAGATAGAATCATCTAGGGGGATGGGCATACCTTGGCCCAAGGGAAGCCGACCGGGCCCGGAAGATTGATGGCTGGGAGATCGCAGAAGAGGAAAGGGATGAGGCACTTCGGATGGCAGAGAAGCTGTCCTCCGATGCAAGACCACGCGGGGAAGATTGTTGGCCACGCCTGACCATCACGAGTAGTTGTCTTGGTGACCTCGGTAGATTTCCAAGTGAGCCATGTCCAAGTTTCGACACCTTCGGGAGGCTTGATCGTGGCCGTCAAGTAAAAAGATGTGAGATCTCCAGTCTCCGAAGAGGTAGAAGATGTGATTGTGGAACTAGGACCATTTGTTTCACTGCTTCCGGGCACAGCAGTTGAGATCGGAGTAGCAGAGTGCTGAGTAGAAGAGACATGTTGCGTAGAGGACACGGTGCTGTCTCGGGTGCTGCCCGGGGATGCCTTGGTGGATTTGTCGTCATCGTCTTGTTTTTTGGTAGACTTCTTGTCATGATCATTATCGTTGCCCTTCTTGGTAGATGTCTTGGAATCGTCACCATCACCCTTCTCGGTTGACTTCCGGTTCTCCTCAGTAGAGACGATGGGAACTGTGGTAGAGTGCTGATCATTCTCTGTTGTAGATGCGGAAGTGGTCGTTGCATGAGCGCTTCCACCACTGGAAACAGATCCCGACATGGATGAAGTTTCGGCATTGCGATTAGTGCCAGAGGGAGATGTCTGAGGCACATTGATGATAGTTGTAGCGGTAGTCACATCTGAGATTGAAGTCTCGATAGAGACAGAGATGCTGGAGATGCTGCTGGACGATTGAGATGGTTGGGGACTGCTGGTGGACGCCAGGGTATGATCAGGGCCTGTGGTGTCACCAGGGGTCTCGGCTGTACCACCTTCGGTCAAAGATGTCTGCAGCGAAGAGGCGGGGACAATGTCGCTTGTGCTACCATGCTGGCTCTCCTGGAAGGTGGAGGATGGTTTTGTAGAGGACGCAGGCAGATTGTGATTTCCCGTCTCAGTTGATGTCGCTCCCGAGACAGTTGGCTGGTGACTCTGAAGAGAGGAATCTGAGGACGACAAAGACACCACTGGGCCGGCGATCGTAGAGTTCCAGTTCAGAGCAGTCGATGAGGATCCAGGATTGGCTGCAGTTGTGTTCCAGTCGGTAAGTCTGGAAGAGGAAGCAGAGCGGCCGATTGTAGCGTTCAAGGATTGAATCAGGCTACTCTCAGAACCTGTAGTAGTGTTGGGGTAGTGGGAAGAGGACGGGGTGGTGATCTGGTCGGAACTGAAGGAAGAAGAACCCTCCGAGGTGCCACAGGGAAGAGTGATGAGAATAGAGGTGGTCACGATGCGAGTGACAACGCGACCTTCCTGGAGTTCAGACGTGGAGATGGAAAGGCTGGTTCCGTCGGTGGAAGCGGCTGAGGCGAGTGATTCGGCGAGGTCGTCTCGCTTCTTGTGGTCTAGAGAAAGAGAGAGAAGATGGTCAGATGGATCCATATTGACGTGAGATTGATAGTTCTTACCTCTGCCACGCGCCTGGCAGATATTGACCGCAAGAGTGAGGAGCAAGAGCGGCATGAGACTGTAGCACCAAGCCTTCAAAGAAGACTTGTGCTTGCCCATCGTGATGGTTTCCTCCTCTGTGTCGGTTAAGCAAGGATCTCTTGCGATATTCGGCGACAATAGGGTAAATCGAAAAGTTGGATTGCCTGTGAAGAGAAGGGAGTCGTGGGTGAAGACAGTCCAGAATTGAGGGTGTGCGCGGGAGGAAGAAGAAGAAGAAGAAGAAGAAGAAGAAGAAGGCAAAGCACAACAAAGAGAAGAGAAACCGGGAGGGAGTCAAATTGCTCTTGTGGCAGGTCAATAAATCTGAGATTTGTGGATGGGCTCTTAATCTAGTCAATATGTACGCGGGCGGTCAAAAAGCCTTTGTTTTTCTCAATCCCTGGCTTATCAGTGGTTGGGTCGAGACGAAAGCACGTGAGGGTGAGGTGAATTGGGATGCCATGGAAATTGAGGGAAGGAACGGTTTGAGATGATATTCAGACGGTGGGTGGCTACTCCTCCATGCATTGTCGAAAGGCTCGCGTGGCTCACATGTATTCCATGTGAATACCCAAGTCAGCAAGTTCTGGGGGTAAGATTGGCGGTTCAAGTATTATGGAGGACTCACTGCTAAAGGCCCCTGAGGCTGAGAGCTTGACTCTGGCACCTCTTCTTTAAAGTAATGAAGTGATACCACTGCTTCAACCCTGAAATCAGAATGTCCCACTGGCCGTGAATTTTGCATATAAATGTAACGTCTGCCCAATGACACAGTACCTGCAGAGAGGTGTAGTGATGGAAAGTCTCTGGATATGAGTCTACAGAACTTAGTAAAGGATTGGAGGATCAGTTAGTTCAAGAGTATGTGAAGGTTGATAGTTAATGGCCATATGAGAAGGCTAGTCGAATTGAGTCTCAATTCTCTGATAAATTACGTTCCTGCATGTAGGGAAGGTCTACGGCAACGCATTGCCTACCTTCGCTGCTGGTGAGTGCTCTGACCGGATATCCAAATCTGAGTAAATAATCCGTGGCAGATCGATCCTATTCATCTCGTGGGCTTTGCGACCTGAATCCCATCTCGTTTCGATGGTAAATGACCAGCTAAGTGTCTTGACCTCATCAATCTTCACATCAAGGCATGCTGTCATTGCTTTTAGCTTGTAAAAGGGGAAACCCCTCAAAAGCTTGTATCTCAATGTCTGCTTTGTTGATTATCTCACTTTTCTATAGAGTCTTATGGTGCGATCCTGAATATTGAGATTTGACTAACAGCTTCATATCTTACTCCTCTAGGGCAATAGTCTTGTGTGGAATTCAACATCGCCAAGAAGCCGAGCCACGTGAATCTTGATATGACTGACTTTAGGCCCCATAGAAGCATCCGAATCAAAGTAAATACGCCAGCCAGCATTGAGTAGAAAGATCGTTGGACATCCAAAGATTCTGTTCCTTGACTCGGCGTTCTACTCTCCGACGGAAGCGCCTGAAGAAGTAACCATTCTCAAGCCTTCTCCACGAACAGAGTCATATCCATATCAAGCCTCATGGTTAGGAGAGAAGGTTTCGCGATATTCGGAAGTATTCTTCAGCTTTGATGAATTTGGCAAGATTGTTCCGATGTCTACAACTACCTAAAAACGAGAATACCTAGTCCTATTCAAGTATGTGGTTCGTATCTGGTGGAAACTTCTTGGGACACAGAATCAGTGAGTCCGACGAATGAGGACACATAAGACATTGCTCAAAAATGTTACGACTTCATATCCGAGACACCTTCTGTATTCTCTTTTGCATCCTCTTGCTGCAACAAGTGCTGCAAGCTGGCTTGCTTTCCCCATTGAAGTTTGAAAGATACATTGCCAGTCAATACATTGTCTCTATGTCCCCAAAATTAGCAAGGCTTGAAGTCCCGAACTTCTGGGTGCTGTATGCGAACAATATTGTTACTTCTAGTGAAGGTGACTTCAGGGGTATCATTCAAAGCGCAGATATTTGACAGCCCAAGTGATGGTAAGTGAGAGCGGTTTCGCCTGGGCGGGAGCAGGTCTGCCGGCACAGTCATTCTCGGGAGGTAGTTATTTGCATGATTGGCATCTGGATTTCATCTTCGTCGGTGTCTATGGCTCCTGGCCATATAAATGGCTCCACTTGCGGCCTTTGCGGCACATCCATCCTTTTATTCTTGGGTGTCTTCTTCTTCCTCCTCGAATGAACCTGCACGGGGACCCTTCTTCATCCAGTACCTCCTTATTGTACTCGCGTCTTAGAAATTCGCATCTTGGACTGTTCTTCCAACCTTGACATGTAGCCACAAATCTCGCCCACCAAACGTTCAATTGCCCTCCCCCTCACCTCTAGATCATTATCACCAGCCTCTTCACTAGAACATGATTCTCCCTTTCCCCTAACCCTCCGATGATCATCTTGGTGCCGACCGAAGAGGAGGCAGATCACTCTTCTCGTATAATAAGTACTAGTAGCTACATTTCCAAGGCGAGGGGGCTGAGCTTGTACGATATCTACATTGAGCACTCAACCAAGGCCCGTGCCCGACTGTCCCCTATATTCAGGACCCGCCTGCTTGCTGCCTCCGTCGTTTCGCGTCACCTTACCGCTTCATGAGTCTTGTTTTGTAGGCCGGTTCCTGTCCCCTTTCGTCATCACGGCCGGACTCCTTACGCGGCTTCCCTCTGCCCCTCATCTCAGAACCCGACGTGGACCTAGGCCGCTTTCCCGTCGCTTTGCTTTCCAGTTGTTCCTGCTGCCTCCCCTGCTTCTCTTGCTGCTCCTTCGCCTTTTGCGGCATGGACTTATTGATCCCGCTCGACTCCCTCAATCGATCACTGTTCTCCTTTTGCAGATCCCGGATCTGGTCGTTCACCGCCTCCGGGTCGCACGGCACAAGCTTCCCATCCTCGGTCAGGAAGATGCCACTCTCAAAGTCGGTACTATCGGTCTTGACCCGGTCCAAGTTGATCAGGCAACACTTCGAAGACGTGTCGTATTCGAGGGGAAAGGGGCCGTAGGCCATCTTCTCCAGCACGGCTTTACCCTTCCACGACAGCTTGTTTTTTCGGATTATTAGTCCCAGCTTGCCGTCACCGAAGTCATGCAACTGTAAGCAGAATTCCCAGTGGCCCTTGGTAGGCGGCGCCAATTCGAGAATGTCGTAGCACCACGCTGATGGGACGTGATCCCATTTGGCAGAGGCTTGCAGCAGAGGGTCACAGACAATCTTGAGCCTCGTGGTCCCGCTGTAGCGCTTTCTAAAGTAATGGGGACCGTCCTGCCAGATTTAGCGTTTGTCAGCGGGAACTATAAGTAAGTGGAGTTCAACGGGAATCTTACGGAATCAAGAGCTAGAGTGGCAGCACTCTCCCAGCTTATGAAGCTGCCATTGACGCTCTTCAGCGGGCGACCTATTTGGAAACCGAAAGCAGCGCCCCTGTTAATAAATTCTTGCACCGTGATATTATCAACCGCCGCAAGTGCGGCTCCTTTGCTGATATTGAAAGAGCTGTCGAGGCAAACATATTAGCAACGTATTCATTTCCGGGCCTCTTGGAAATTTCGAGTTTCCAATCTACATACTCTTTCTCGCCGACCGCCTCGTAAAAGAGAAACGGATCGTCAATCTTAAGTTGAGCACAAGCTTGCTGAAGATTAGCCTGCACCAGAATGTTCTTGCCACTGCCGCCGGACAAAACAATCTTGACGTTCGAACCTAAGGCGACAGCGGCGTCAATCTTCTTCCTGGCGAGTCTAAGAGGGGTTTCCAGCCCGTCGAGAAAGCATTGCCTGGCATCGGTCGCGCGTAAGTGTACTGAGATACTGCTGTGGTTATCTGGATCTTCCGCGTGCAAGGCCATGCTCGCGAATAAGCCTGTTTGAAGCCTCTTGATCTTGAGGTGGAACATCTCTAAAAGGTCTGCTCGTTGGCTTGGGAGTAGAGTCGATTTGAGTGACTTTTCGACGTAATTTGTTGCAAAATCATCAACTCTCTTTTCCCATAGTTGTGTACCGCCATGAGCGGCTGATTGATCGTTCGTTAGACGTGGCTCTGTGGGTGAACGTTTGGAAGATGTGACTGGACTTACTAAAGGGTTCCCCAACTTGGAAATAATTCAACTCATCGCCACTCCGTCGTACTGCGCTGAATATGCAGCCGTTCTGCGCTACCGCCGTTAATATCTCTCCCGAAAAAGATCCTACAGCCCCGGGCATCGCTATAGTAGCTGACTCACCATTGTGTGTCCTCCAAAATCAAGAAAAACCAAATGACAAGGCTCGTCCACCTTAGTGAGTATCTGCTTCATGTGACGCGGGCTCGAGAATAGAAAGTGAGCCGACGCCAGACTCTCTACGTGAAGCTTGATGCGACCGTGTGCGTTTGCAAACGTATTAGACTCCATCATGGCGGAGGCAATTAGGTTCTCGTAGCTGGATAGCTCCTGGGCCGTCCAGTGCGCGGGATGCGACAGGCCAACCTCGTCAATATGGAGCGCGCGATCGGTACAGAAATCTGTCACCTCCTGAAAGACGGTCCTCACTATGGCTTTCAGGGCCCTACGAATTTTCGTCTCCATGCCCCTGAACTTGGCCAGGAGGCCATCGAGGAGCGGGTTACCGGTCTCGCGGTCTTCGCACAGGAACCATTTTGAGGGAATGGGCGTGCAGCTTCCGTTGTATACCTCGCCAGTGTACACTATGCCGCCGCGGTCGTCGACGTAGAGAGTTGAGTTGAAGGCTCCGGTCTGGTAGCGGATGTCATGTCCAGGAACCGCGCCACGGTTCCATATCGGGTGCAGCTCCCTGGTCTTGCGGATGCAAATGGTTGCACGTATGGCGGTGCTGCCCCAGTCTATGCCCAGGATGCTGTAGGTCGCGAAGACAACAGTCGGTCAGTTTATGACATAAAGATTACGGTTTAATTTTGCGATGAAGGGTGCTGATACGGCGATGAGTAAGGTTATGAAGGACTTACGCTGCCTCCGACCTAGCGCGAGCCTTGGACATGGGAAGCGGGATGTGACCACTACTCGAGCTGTCACAGTGGTTGCTTTGAGATGACGTCTTTGGCCTGAAATAGGCTCATATAGGCCTTTAGGTGATGTCTATACGTGAGACGCGTGCAACACGAGTTTGAAGAGGGAGTGCGTCGTTCAACCTGAGAGTGAAGCTCTATGAGCAAGGTCGCTTGCCGGCACTGAAAATGATGATCCAGGTAAGAATACGGATAGATGGGGTTGGGTCAGCCTGTGTTCTGAAGCACGTCCCCCTTTGCGAAAATGGCTGCTATTGTCAGCGACTTGCTAGGTTACTGGCTGGTACGTGGGACTAAGGTAGGATCAAGTCATTAGAGCCTAAAGGCAGGTAAGGATATGAGAATCGGTGTCAAGCACAAGAACTGGTACAGAGGCAGAATTACTCCATCGGGCCAGCTGAGAACCGCTGGCAGAGCGGGTGAGAGATTTGCTAGGGGACAAACGCAGTAGTACACTGGTCAAAGACGCGACTTTTCGCGACGCGGCTAGCTACTTAAAGTGAATAGGCCAGGGGTGCCCATTTGTTTTGCGCAAGATAAACAGGGGTGACGGCCAACCTCACATGCTATGTTCCACCTAGGTATTGATCCGTACCGATATATTCCATGTCGCCACTCAAACGTGCAAAGAAACCAGGCAGCGATTGACTTCACACTGGGCGTACCTGGGCTTTTGTGACCAATTATCTGACCCCGCCAGCAATCTTAAGGGTTGAAGTGAATAGGATGCCACCTCGGTCATATGTTACCTCAAGACTGTTGCGTCTCTAATCGTATCTACTGGAAGCCTTCATTTTTTTGTCGAGAATAACGATTTCCTAAGTTCATCCTACTGCCTTACCTTCTTTTCCCTCGTCCATGCGATTACAAGCTCAGTGGAAACTCCACAAAAGTCCGCCGCCGGCCTTTCGAACTACATAACAGCGTGACATGCACAGAAACGTGGCCAATCATTCGGTAATTGCAGACTTCAAGACTTGGGCAATAACCCACTTCCCAGCCCTCCCCAGAACTTGGGGGCCAATTGACGATTTCTACCTTGTCGCGGTACCAACTCAACATGATCCTCAACTTCCTCTGATCGCTTCAGAGATAACACCCAAAGCTGAAATGCTACTACCCTCATGGGAATGCTACCACGACTCCGTCAGTCAATGAAAGGTACGCCACGAGATGACACGCGAAGTGAGTATGCAGACGCGCTTACCTGGCTTCCGTAAAACCCAGTGATGGCCTCCCCAGGAGCTGTGGCGACTAGAAAAGAAGTATGACTTGGCAGATCCTCTTGGAAGGAGAAGAAGCAGGTTCTTGCTCGGTTCGTGGACACCTCAACGTAATTACGTCAGCGCACATTTCTTGCGGGAAAGTTTGGACAACGGGCAAGTGAGCATGGGCGACCAACCTTAAACGCAGCTATGAATCCTTCCTCAACCATCCATGTGTAGGCGTCTTCAGGGTCAACATTTTCCTGGAAAATATCGACCGCATTGATGAGTTCGCCTCCTGCCCCATCGATTGCAAAGTTGAGTTCCTTCGTCCAATCTCCAGGCATTTGGCACCCAAATGCTCTATCGAGTTCCGGAGTATCGTATGTAAAGTCAATACGGCGTATGCCGGCGGGGCCTAGGATGACTCTGAGATTGTTGAGTTTGCTAAGATGGGTACCAGCTGGACCGCCGAAGGAGGTCCAAAACAGTGGTTTGAATCCGTCTAAGTAGTGTTCCCTAGGGGCGAAAGAAGCTTCGTTCAAGCAAAGGTCTGGTCCAGGGATCTCAGGGTACCACATCGCCATATTTCTCAATCTGTTCTCATCCTGGGCTAGTCTTACGATAGATGAAGACTGTGGAGAGATAGCCAAGCTCACAATTTTGCAACCCTGTGAAGTCAGCATACTTACATGAGACATAGCTTGAAAGGTCCACCTGACTCACATCAAATCCAATATCAAGGTCGTTAATGCGCTCGCCTACGTTGAAGCGGAGCGTCTTGAGCGATATCCCCGGACTGCCCATCCAGTGGGAGGTATCGGAACTTTGGTTGATACATTGCAAAGCTTGAATTCCCCGTTCTCCCACAGCTAGCTTGAAGCCACTTATACCTGAAATGCCCACCGAGTGCTCGGTTGTAGTTTGGTAGCCTATTTGACGAACATCGCCCGCCACTGCGGTGAACTTTAGTCCAGCGATGTACTGCATGTCGCCTATAGGAATAGACCAGATGGAAATCATCGATAAGTCTTCGGGGATGGTTAAGCGGTACATTTGGCGGATAAAACAACCCCTATCTAAGTGGGAGTAGTGTGGTCCACTCGGGCTCTCCCACAAATCGCCAGACACCTTCAAACAATGCGCCGCGTCTCGCTGCTGTGACTGTTCTGAGTCACTGTCGATCCATTGAAAGTCCAGAGCTGCCACAACTTTCTGGGCTAGGTTCCAAATACGAACTCTGTTCTGGAGGCTAGGACCTATGTGCGCATTGTTGGTTCGATGATACAGCCATCTCCAGTCCCGAAGCCGAGCCCCGTCCTGGGATTCAAAAAGCCATGAGCGGTCTGACTTGTGTTTGAATCTCGAGGCCCAAAACTGTTGACTATTGAAAATGGTCCAGAACGAATGTGAGGCCAGTCGTAGGTTCAATACATCCAAGGTCGGCAGGCAAATAGCGATCGCTGACCGTAGCTCTTCTGGGAGCGCATGAAAGCTGTCTCGCTCTGGCACTGTAGCATTAGAAGTAGGCCCTTTTGGACTTGGCGGCTCTTCGGGTGCCTCGATGAGCAGGCGGTGGGCCTCTTCAGCTTCGTACGGGTTGGCGCTGAGAACGGGGTCGGGATCCATGTATTCACGGTCGGAAAATCTGCCCTCGAACGGAAAGTGGTGTTCATTATCGACGATACTGGCTCCCCCGTAATCGTGACCCCAGCTGATGCCTACTGACAGTAGCGGAAATGGGAGTGATTCGCAGACGTCAAACAGTCTTGATAAGGGAACTGGACTCGGATGGAAGACCTTCTCTAGGAGTTCCCAGCAAGCGTCATGGAAAATAAAGCCATGTCTTCCGTTGACTGGCGGGAAGCCCATAGCGCCAAATTGGTCTTCTTCTGGACTGTCGTAGGCTGGGTCATCCCATCGACGGTCGCGGTCGACTGGGGCTATGAACGCTCCCCTTTCCGGATCATCGTATAAGCCAACACCGGTGAGGATAACGCCATATGGACTTGAAGTGACTTCGGATAAAATTAGGATGCTTCATACTCCCAAAATCAAAACCAGCGCACTTACCTCCGCGGAACTGATTCAACCAAGAAACGCTGCCTGGTGCATCGACGACGACCCAGCCGCAGAGAGTGCACGAGCATATACGGGGACTCATGATTGTTGTGACGTGGGCAAGGAATCTGGGAAGAATATAGAGCAAGGCAGTTTGGAACATTGGGCGGTTGCCTAAAAAGGTCCCATTCCCGCTGCAAGCCTGATCGGGGAAATGTTGGTTCCGCTAAACCTGGACTTGAACATGGATGGTACCTTACTGCTGGGCTGCGACCGTCCACCATTCCAAAAAACCTAGGTCCTGTTCATAATGCGCTGGCCTTCGCAAACCTTTCAGGTGATTATATTTACTATGTCATCTGAAGATATACTGATACTTGACTCCATCCCATGGGCATGTTATCTATGACTGTGGGTGTCTCTATCAACATTTCTCACCCCGAGGTCCTTTCCGTCAATATGGCGCTTGGTTCTACGCTTCGACGTCATCGCTTTTATTCACTCCAGTAGCAGGGATTGCAATGACCATGGCAAAGTATGAGTAAATTTCCACAGAGGATGGCTCGTTGCCGTACTGCAAGTGCATGTTAGCTAAATTCAGATCTCAAAGGTGGGCGGCAGGAAAACGTACTGCCATATATGACACCTGCTGTTTCGATTCGCCATTGTTCTTGTTCAGCCAGATAATCTTGCTGGCGTCGAAGTTGATCTTATCGGTTCTCATGGCCTGGTTGATGATGCGTTTCATGTCATCTGAATACTCAACCAGCTCGTCAGTGGAGTATGCTTGATTGATGAATCCGACGGTTCTGGTGTAGTATTTCCTACCGTCGTCGTCTTCCGAGTCAGATTCGGCGCGGTTATTGTTCTTCGCCAATGTCATCTTCCTCTGCGTTGGCTCGGCATCTGTATCTTCATCAGAAAATTCCCTGTTGTACAGCTTGCGCCTGCGAAAGCCTTTCGGGTTTTCGAGAATTGCACACAAACGTGCTTCGAAGCCTAGGCTTTTGAAGGTGTTATAAATCACCATGTCAAGACCCTTGAGACAGAATGGAAGCCCGTGTTCCTTCTCGGTGTGAGGATAAGCGTGCGTGCTGTAGACTCCCAGAAGTCTGTCCTTGGACTGGAATTTCTTGGATCCGAGCAAGTCGACAATCTGGCTGTAGAGCGGCAGCGAAGTAGGGCTGAAAGCAGACACTTGACCTGCGAGGTCTCCGTTTCCTGCTGTAGCATACAAGTTGTATGTGAGCGTAACCCTATGGCCGGCAGTAACCTCGAACACTTCGTGTTCGCAGTCGCTGTAGAAGGCCGCCCACTGAATGACGGAGTTGTTGGAGTTCTTGGCCCAGTCGAAGGAATGAGTCTGTCCAAAATGTCTCACGGCCAGCTCGCCGCCCTCATGCTGCATTGGAAGACAGACAACCAAAGAGCCAATCTGGTAGGACGAACGAGGAGTATCGACGTGCACCTTGAACTTGCCCGAAGGACCAGAGTAGATCTGTGGAAGGTCATGTCAGAGAGATGGAGATTGTACACCACCATACGTCAACCCACTTACATTCATATTGTACAGCTCCGCACGGATTGCCCGCTTGTCTTCGTCCAATTCGTAGCTGGGGAGAAGAACCTGGCAAACAGCGTCGATGATGCCTGTCTCATATGGGCAGAAGCTGGTGCAGAAATCACCTGCACTAAGCTTCTGAGCCTTGCGGTACGTTTCATCGAACTCGTGTCGCCCGTCGAGGCCGAATGTAGCCTTTTCAGAAACTTCAAGAAGGTGATTGAACGCTACGGCGTCGTCGTCTGAAGCGATTGGGAAAGAGACTCGCTGGGGGCCAAGATGCCCCACTGGATTGTCCCACCGAAGAACGACCGAAGAAGATACAGCATGAGCTGTCGGGCTGGATTCGTCTTGGGGCTGCTGAACAGGAATCTCGCCGCCGATAGCAAACGTACTACCCGCCAGATGTTCGTCTGAAATGGATTCAGAGACTTGCTTTGCAAGCTCTCGGAGCGTGGCTGCAGAAGCCATTCTGAGCTTTTCGTCTGTGGGGGCGGTGAACTGTTGATTGTAGCGTCGGTTGGGACGAAGGTGGAAGTCAATAGAGGGATGTTAAGATGATGCAGAGTGAAGATGTCGTAGAAGATCGCAGGTAGAAAGACGGCTTAAGTACCTTCCAATATATTTTCTCCGATGGTCAAGGAGTTGAGTGAATGTCCGTGTATGGTGGCACCGTATAGATCACAAGGGAAGGTAAGTCAGATCCCACAAGGTGGTTCAAGTAGGCAGCTGAAACTTACTAGAGTATGTGTGGACTTCAAAGGTGGTGACCGTTGCAGGGCTGTATTGCGCCTGAAGGCAGGCATCCAAGACAAATCTGCTCGATTGCCTAATGCCTTCAGGGTGTGTGACTATTGAGGTAGATAGCTGGCAAAGACTAAACACATCCTCACATCCCAAGTGCTACTGCGACCACTACTTTACGACATTCAAAGGTGACTACTTCACACCATCCGGGAGAGTGAGCCGCCGGTGTGCCGTTATCTACTGAGTACAGCTATGGTTGTGCTTGAATATACGGCCCGCATGTGGAGTAAGTCATCGGCATCTCAGACGCTACATGGTATGCTTTTCATCCAGCCGTCATTTCTCGTGAACCTTTGCAACTGATAGAAGATCCATGCGGATTTGTGTCAAGTCAAGGTGGTTGTTGAATGGGTGGCTTTATTTCGTGCTGAAGCACCGTTGCCTCTCATTCAACGCTATTTGCCCCTACCTAGTCGTGAAGTGATGGTCGTCGAGAGACCAAGTAGGCTGAGCTCACCTTATATATCCTAGTTTGCTCCTTGAGCTATATCAGCCCGATAATGCCGTGCCTGCATACACCGCCCTCAATTTTGTAGCCTCCTGGGGAATTTCATCAAATATTACATGGCCTCCTTAGTAATTCATAGGCGTCTCTTCCCCAACTGAAGATGCGGTATTTTGCGCACTTTACGGCCCGACATGCTTAGAGGCCCTTTTCAACCTCCGCAAAGGCCTCTGCGAACCCAGGCTCTTTCTTCGTCTCTGCCCATATCCTCTCCTTGAGGCCATTCCCCTCAGATGTGTACATCACAGCGGGCCATCTGAATCCATGTTAGCTCCATGGTCGCTCAATCCTCGACTTGAGAGTCATGCAGTCTGACTTACGGCTTGATGAGTCCATCTGAGGTGAAGCTCCCATGACTCTCCCTGCCCTTTACTATTGCCGCATCAAGATAGCTTCTAGCGCCGACTTCCACGCTTCGACCTATAGTCTTCTTCATAAGGCCCATGAAGAATGATTCGCTTGCTGGCTTGACGATATTGGTACCGCTGGTGAGGCCTGAATTGGCGAGATTGACAATGATCTGGTTCGGGTTGATGTAGGTCGCCAGCTTGGCGACGAAAAGCTGGCCCAGGAACTTGGACTGCTGATAATTCTTCCCAGACTCCCACAGGGTTTCCTTGTCAGCCGGTTTGAACATGGACCCTGTCACCATGTCCTCTTCTGGCGTATGCCAGTACGTGAAATCCGAGCTGACGATGACTAGCCTCGCCTGATCTCCCGCCGGCTTCTTCTGTTTCATGACTGGAAGCAGAAGGAGGGCTAGTAATGTGGTTGAGAGGAAGTTGACCTGAAGCATCAGCTCGTGGCCTTCCCGCGATACTATAAAGTTCTGAGCGACCACCGCGGCGTTGAGAATGATGATGTCAATCCGCGTCAGCTCCTTCTTACAACGTGCAACAAAGTTCCTGACGCTCTCGTATGACTCCATTTCCAGGTGCCATACTTGGATCTGCGCCATGGGGAATTCCCGTCGTAAGCCTTCGGCGAGGGCCTCTCCTTTTGATGTGTTGCGGACGCCCATAATGAGACGACCGAGTGAGCGCTCGAGAAATTGACGGCTGGCTTCGAGACCGAGGCCGCTACTGGCACCCGTCATGATGAGGGTGCAATCAGACAAGTCGAATTCTTCCGGGATCTCGGCCGGTGTGATGACGGCCTGGCGGTACAAGAAGGATAGCGGGTTGGCTTCCCAGCCCGCCTGGCTAGCCAACTCATTGGACATTTTGGGCGATTAGTAGGCAGAAAGGGTGAGCTAGGTGAAAGTTTTGTCAATAGTTGCGGCGTCCGTTTCTAGAAACAAGCTTGGAAGAGCTCGAAAGGCGACGTCGACGTTTGATATATCCCGCCGGCCGATCCGACAATTATGGAGCCAAGAAACACCAAACAAGTTGAGAGGGCCCTTGGTTCCATTTCCTGCTCGCATGTGGTCGGAGAAGGGGTTATCTGGTGTGGTATTTGATGTCATGCGGTCTGCTCTTGTGTCGCAGAACCTTTGACTTTGGACCGGGTTCCCCCACGGGGGGCGCGGTGTGCATCGAGGACCGAGCGGGCGGACGTTGAACGGTCTTGAGACGCGCCAATGTTCCTCTGGGGGACCGGACGCTTATTCGCGCTTGGATTGGGCGCTTAAGGGGTGTCGAGGTCTGTCATGCGTGCGACGTCAAGCAACCTCTCCAGCTTCGTGCCATTGCGGTGCAGGTGCTGGACGGGGCCTGTCAAGGTCAGTGATGGACGTTTTGCATGGGGGCTGTTTCGTCGCACGATCTACCGCAAGGTCGACTCGGCGCAGGGGTCAGGGATATCGGGATGTTAGGGGTCCACGACGCTCGGTGTGCGAGGTCTAAGAAAAGAAGCAGCTGCTTAGTCACCGACTGCAACGCTGTTGACTTGAGTGTCGAAGTACAGTAGTACGTAGACACCAGGGCATCGTCTGAATACCTGAGCTGTTGATTGTTGCTCCGTCTGATGGATAAGATGCATTCGATCAAGGCTTTTGGGTGAATGTTTCAACAGCCGCTAAGCTTTCAGCCAGTGTATCGGGGTGGCATGGTGGGAAATGCAAATTGGGAGTCAATTCACACCGAGATACACCGAACTACTCGATTGCAGTCAATTCGGTGGAAGGGACTCCTCGGTGAGGGCAAGAGATGACTCAGCATCTCGATAGTGGGCCGGAGGGACTTCGGGTGAGGCCGGCCATGGCCTGTGCTTGGAGACTAGTGTACGAAGTACTGTTAGTCACCAGAAATAGGTACGTAGACAAATCTGCCCCTCCCCCTCCAGCTTCCAATGATTCGCCCTCGGATGGTGGGGTTAAAGGAAAGACGGGCGGGACCTGGAACCAGACAAGTGGGAGGAGAATGCAACCTTGGCCTTTGCTGGACGCCGTTTCGTCTTTTGCCAAACGTCCAGTCCCGTCACCGCCAATCCGCTGCCACTTTTCCTCGAGCCACTCTCATCCAAGTACACAATCAACCACCACCCCTCCCTCTGCCTCTCCGGCCCCAAACCGCCTGCAGGATTCGAGAAGCGAAGAACCTCTGTTCCCTCCCGTCCTATCTAGCTTTCTCTTTGTCTCCAACCTCTCCCGCTCACACGGACCCGAGTCTCCACCAAAGGGACCCCCTCCTCCTCGTTCCTCCTCCGCCGCCGCCGTCTTCCTAGCCCTCCCGATCCCGAACATCCGCCAGCCTCCAAATATGTCCGGCCTCGACGCCCCCGAAATCGCCGCGGCCTACGATGCCGTCCGCTCCGACAAGGACGAGACGAGCTGGCTTCTCATCTCCTACGCCAGCGCCGTCGGGAACAAAATGACCCTCACAAAGACGGGCACCGGCGGCCTGTCCGAGCTGGCCTCGGAGCTGGACGACTCACAGGTCCAGTACGCCTACGTCCGCGTCGAGTACGCCAACGACGTCGAGAGCAAGCGCGTCAAGTTCGCCTTTGTCATTTGGATCGGACAGAACACAAAGATTATGCGCAAGGCTCGCGTCAGCATCGAGAGCAGCGAGGTCAAGAGGGTGCTGCCGCACCACAGCATAACGGTCAACGCCGACCACAAGGGCGACTTGGACGAGGACGATATTGTCAAGCGGTTGCGCAAGGCTGGCGGCGCTGACTACAACGGTGGACGCGGCTAGATGCCAGGCAGGCTCGCCCAACCAACGATAAATGTCCTTTTTTTCGAGGCCAAGGGGGGGGGAGAACAAAAAACCGCACGCATATATATATTTTAAAGGGGGGAGTTCAGAGAGTGGCTGTGGCCGGCGGGATTTGAGCTATGAGTACAACGGTATCTGGCCAGGCGGAGGCGCTTCAGGGAGCGGCATGCATACTCTTTCCAAATACAGCATATACCTTGGATAAATATTTTGGGACCTAACACGGGGACCCGGCGCAAGCCGAGGGAATCAAGGGATTTTTTTCTTATTGTCGAGCAAGCTGTTTGCTAGCCCCTCGTCCGGTTTCCAGCGATACGCTAACGCCTGACCATAAACGTAGGGTCAAGGAATCGGGACGTCTCCCCCCGCCCCTGGATAACAGGCTTTTGAGAGATATCCCATTCTGTCTCCATTGCCGGGGTTCAGATGCTTCAATGTCTTGCCATCTAATCTCCTCCCACCTTATATTGCTCTAAATAAGCGTACCTCAGTTGAACTCTGTCCTCTTCTCGAGCTAAAACGGCATCGTCTTCTGGCGGCGGATCAGCATCTGGGACGATCCCTGTATCGTCGGCGCCTCCACATCCGGGGAAATTTAGACATGCCGTTAGCTGGTAGCAATTAGGCCCTTAGCATCGAGCTGGAGAATCCACTTTGTCATCTGGGACAGCCGCCGTTCTGCGAGTCCCCCGAGTGGTCTCACCTGGTGCGCATCCCACCAAACCAGGAACCCTGGGGGGCTCAAGCTACCCGAAAGGTAGGCTAACTTCGGACCCATTGCTCTTGCCTTGGTCGCCGACGTGTCAATGAGAAGTACCGTGCCCTGAGCGGCTTGAGAAGCTGAGAGTATCACGAATCTCAAAACATTCTAGCTTCGAAATCGGAGCCGCAGCATTTACAGGCCGTTCCTTCTAATGGCATCGGTCCCCGGTGATGAGTCAACCCGTTTCAAGAATTGTGCTCGGCTACTGATTTAGACCCCGATTTCACCCCCCGAAGAGTACGGATGGGCTTACCTCCATAGATATATGGTAGATTTCTCGGACTTCTCGGGCTCACTGAGTGCACAAGTGGTGGAGTAGCATATGTTGATAAGCTTGAGGCAATGTCAACGCTAACTTTGCGTCTGCAACCCATCAGTAAAATGAAGAAATATCACAGAAATATCACATTTGCCATCATGAAAGATGCCAGATAGTTTTGAGGATTGGCAGGGATTGACCCGTATAAAAGCTCACGAGCGGCGCAGCTGCCATTGTTCTGCACGAAGATACGACCACGGATTTTTTTCGGCCAGCACTTCATACGCAAGTCTACTATGCAGCCGTCCCTAGCCGCAAGGGAGAGCACTGAACGTGACTCTGATGGAAAATATTCTCTCAAAGGCCAAGCAATGGAAAAGGACTTCAGTTCTCAGCTTCGCTTGGCATGCGGGTCTGCTATGCCCCAGAAATCCTCCTTGGCACTCGGTCAAAGTCTGAATAGGCATGGTTTTACCTCGCATCGGGCTCTGGGCCAAAATAAGCTTACTTTGACGAGAGAATATTTGGAACTTTGGGATGCTGGTAGTGGGCATGCACTCGAGGTCCATGCAATGCCAACGTCCTGCCGTAATTAGCTAGTTGAGGGAATTCATCCAATTGTTGACTGAAAAAACTCCACGCTTTGATTTGCTCGCTTGTTGTTTGCAACGCAAAACCCACTGCACTTAGTTTCTATCGTCCACTTTAGGTATACCAAGGAACTACTCCAGCTCTCCTAATAGTGAAACTTCTCCGCTATAGCTATTTGAAAAGGCCCGCGACCGTTCTCTACGGCCTCTCTAAAGCCATTCTTTCCACCATCCCATAGCAAGAATCGGGCCTTGGAGATTTCCGTTGGATCTGGGCTCAATTTTCAAAGTTGAATCAGCCCTTAGTTGGAGGGTCATGCTTGGTGCCAAGCCATCATAAAGAACTTCCGTCAGTGGGGAACCTCCAGTCCATGTGGCACCAAGACAGAACTTCAGTCGATTGTGCCCAGACGAACCTTTCGAAGCTGCTTAGTCTATGAGATTAATACACGGGAACTCTGTAATTCGAATATTGCCGCCAAGCTTCACCCTGGCTTTTCAGAGCTATGGATTGCAACTTCACTATTACTTGGCAGATCCCGTAGGATTTCCGTTGGACTTGGAAGCTTTTGGATGCTTTGAATCAGTCTAATGTAGGAAAATTGAGGGAATAAACCTTTCGCTTGAGATTTCAAGGCAGAATTCGCGCCGCGTATTCCTGATTTACTCCAGTGGAAAGATGAGCCTCATGACCGAGGCTTGGACGGTTCGGCCTGTCACTCACGAAGTTTAAAGACTCGGTCAAGTCTCACCATTCATCAAGTTCCCGCTCACTTGCTCTCATCATCAACCATAAGCACTCAGTCAACCTCAAAGAGTCTCACTCGGTCTACTTTATTCATCATGAAGACTGTTCTATCCGCACTCGTGGCGGCCACCATGGCTCGCATCACTTATGTAAGTCGCGACTCCAACAAAAGACTCTTTTATGCATGGCAGACAACATTACTAATTCTTGCTTTTCTCTAGGCCTCTCCAGTTGACTCTGGACTTGTTGCCCGGGACGAGAGTGTAATCCCCTACCCCATCGGCCTTCTGGGCTGGGAGGGACCACTCACTCCCGGAGGTCCTGATGTGTACTACGAAGGCGCCGATATCGAGGCCATCAACGCCCAGATTCTCGCCGACACCCCCGAGGCCTCCATCTTTGTCAACATCACCGAGTCCGGTGTCGAAAATAGAGCCGCGCACGACAGTAGCCCCATCGAAGCTCGCCAGGTAAGCTCGCAGTTACCACCATTTCACCATCACGCTTGAACAACAGTCTCACTAATGAACACTAGGCTTATTCTCAAACTTGCGGGGCTGGCCGGTGGGGCCTCTTGTCGCAGATCGATATTCAAACTGGCATCAATCACTTATACAACGTCGGTCGCTGCATCGTGCAGGCGCGCCAGTGCATCCGGACCACCTGCAATCAGGACTCGGCTATTGCGTGGTGCAACGACAACACGTACGCCATCAACGTCCCCTGCCGCACCGTCGCCGACTTTGCCTCTCTTGCTATGTGGGAATGCGTCAACTGGCGCGAGATCCCCTTCCCAAACCTTCCGTCTACTCAGCGTTTTCACGAGGCCGAGCGCTGGAATATTATTCTGTCGGAATGCGGCTTCTTTAGCCCCGGTGGCCAGCCGGTTTGATTCTCACCCAGGTGTCCTGGCAACCCTGTTTCTGGGTTTAAGAAGAGCTTCGATGCCTCGGAAATTCTTCCATGACTGCAAACAGGCGCAACCAGTAGAGCGCGTGGCCAGATTCCGATCGAAGGGGGGAGGATGAGGCGTGTCGACCCAGTATGTTGAGCCAAATACTGTCAGAACTTCCCTTCTAATTTTACTTATCCTCATGTATGCTTGTTTTCGCAGGCACAGAGAATTCCTCTTTGTACTTGCACAATTTTGCTCATTGCTCCCGCGAACCACGTAAACCTTTGATACTTGTACCCTTACAGTCTAAGGAAACTCAGTGTTCTCCAATACATGAAGTCTCCGCAGATATGATGTTCTCCACATTCGCACGACGATCCCGGTTCGGTTAGACTATGGTCTAAGTCAATGGGTTGCCTAAACTCCGAGGAGATGCTTCCGCTCATTGTAGTCCCGAGATCTTTCATTCCCATCACCAAGGCCACGTTAATCCGTTGACTGTTATCACTTGCTAGACACCGCATGTTCGAAATTCTTTGTTAACTCTTATCGCCTAAGATGGCCTCGTCTTCAGATGACATCGCAGCCTCGCTCGCTGCATACCGCGCATTCATCTCAGCGCAGAACCGCCGCGCTCTCGAGATCTACGTACCATTCATTGCTACCGCGGTACCTGACGATCTGGAAGACGACGATGACATCGAAGAGCTCCGCCTAGACGGCCTCAATACGCTTCTTGACACCAACCTCAAAGACTTTGGCGTTTCAGAGCCCAGCGAGGTTCTTACACGTTTCGATGAGCTGGCGCCGAAGATTGGCCTCGACGGTACTTACGTGATGCAAGAGCACGAGGGCACCTCTGAGGAACGTGACGCTATTCGTCGCGAGTACCTCTTCGTTATCGAGGAGAATCTGAAGCGGAAGTCTAGAGAGGACGTGCGTGAAACCATCTCGATTCCCGAGGAGTTCCGTGTGCTGGCCGGGCTCGTTGACGGTATTGTGGGTTACGGACTGCCCGTCTATCGGAACAGGGCCCACCCGGCCTTCTGGTGGGGCTGCCGAGATGATTTGTGCCCGCACGCCGAGAGGGTGATGACGCCTGAAGACCTGTCGCAACACGCGTGTCTCCCAGAGTTCTGGGAAATCGCGGGAGGATGGGCGCCAGGTACAGGGCCGGATGCCAACTTTAGCATTGTGTATAGCCGCGAGTCTGACGAAGATCCTTGGAAGTGGAGATACACTCTTTCCACGCTGGATCACGGCTTGCAGGTCTTTGAGACGATTTCAGAGTTTCTGGCTTGGTACGCACATTTCAGGCAGTCCGACGAGGTTCCCAGGCCTAACGAGCTGGACGCCAACAGTCTCCTCTTCAGCCAAATCTAGCCATAGTTTGTGGCCTCAAGGTCAAGATGAAGGTACAGGAACTGGTCGCTAAATAGCTTCAATACAAATATGTACAGACGATCTACGTGAGGCCTACAACGTCCACTACATGTGCTTGTCATCTTACCTCTCATGAGCCCACAATTCCTACATAGGATACACTTTGTAAATTCATAAGGTCGTTGTGAGCTACGTGTCAATACGTGAAGGAAATAGTCAGTGTTCTCGAAAATTTGGGTCAGGAAGTAAGTAGCTCAGACACCTACTAATATGTAATACTGATAAGAATGACACACACTTAATCATCGGCCAAGCAGCTGTGGAGAGGTATCGGCGAAATGGCAGCACCAATTTACGTGAACCGCGAACCCGCTTGGCGGGACAGAATGGGCTCAGAGCGAGAACGCTCGTCCGGAGGTGAATTCAGCTTCAATACACCTTCAAGCTGAGGCCGGTCCTCCAGTTCTAAAGTGCCGCTGTATAGACCAGACCGTTAGGTGAGACATCCTTCGGTCCCAAGCTACATATTACACTTCTTTTGATAATGTGAATGCATATGGCGTTTTCTATGTACAGTCCCTCGTATCAGAACTATAGGTTGAGGCACATAGTGGTTACTTTATTGTTCTGTTTAACCTCGCTTAGGCATGTCTGATCTTACAACTTATGCACGTAATATTCCCTCAAGGATACGAGGTAGATCGTGGCCGATTGATGTAAGTCAGCCTTGGCCAGCGCCCGACTAGCGAATTTCTCCCCGAGGTAATGTCCTGCAGAGTTCCTCATAGGCAGACTTGCAGTTGAATGGACTGTCGTAAGCCCAACATCTTACGAGCGGTGTGGGAAGATCTGGGCACAAACAAAAAACATCCATGTGCGAAATGTAGACAAGAAACTTAAACGTCATTCCATTACCATATTGAAATACGTCTTGAAGTAAGGACGAAGATTAACATAAATAGGACAAAGCTTTCCCTGGTAGCTTGGATTTTATTAAACTCAGACGCTCATGAAATGCTTTGTGTACTCTGACGTCAAACAAAGAAGCCTTCTCATCAACTTTCCTCATTTTATCCAAAAACAACTTCGAAATGATCTTCCGAGCCGTTCTCAAAACAACCATTGTTGCTTCTGGTGCAATAGCAGCGACCATTTCTGCCAGAAACGACGATGGAACCAACGGTTTCCGTCTATGGGCCAACACGCTTTACCCTGATTCCCCAGGCAATGGCCCTATCATCCAGGGCTACGAGCTCGGCTACGTGTCCGGTGCCGCATGCCAGACCACCGCGATCCTGGTACCCGAAAGCCAAGGATCCGTATTTTATACCAGCAACAATACCATTGGCGTTTACTTTGACAGCGACTCATCCTCCTTTGCCGGCATGGTGGTGCCCTGGCGCGGGCCTGCAATGCTACCCAGCGGTAGACCCGTAGAGCTCAAGTGCGAAGACGGTACACAAGAACTCACTCTCAACGATAACGGCGTGTACTATCCCGGGGAAATGGGTCCGGATTTCAATGGAGCATTCATGGTGTGTGAGAATGGAGGTGACCCGTTCTTGAGCTTCTATGGCTGGGGTCAGAGGCCTCTCTGGGGTTGTACTGTAATTCAGCTACTTCCGATCTACTGAAATCGAAGGGAATGCTCCCTGCCATTTGATAGTTGAGGAAGAGAATTGCCGAAACCTTTCCTACGGTCATTGCCGCTACAAATTCCGCATAAGCGCCTTCTTACCATGTTCTGCGTCAGCACGGGGCCACAGAGGGTTTTGACATATGAGCGAGCAGTGTCGTATCAATGCAGACATCATGTGCAAATTGAAATCGTAGCAAAAGTTCGTTCAGGCAGAATTCAAAGAGCATAAGGCGTACCTTAGAGTGCCCATGTATCGCTAGGGTCTCTGATAGCGACCGCTGCACTGCAGCACCAGACGGGAGCATGAGCGAGCTACGACGCCATTGGTGCACATGTCTACAGACACACCATTACATACAACCAGAGATCAACGCCATAGGCCGTACAAATTTCGTAGTCGTCCAAAAAGGCGAACTGATCCTTCGGAAATTTTGGAAAAACTATCTAAGCTTCTGAAGACATATCCTTCTGGATTCAGTCGCAACGAAGTCCCGATAAGCCTAGAAATTGTGTTGAATAATGGTGCTCCATATTCAGGGTTTTGGTTTACTTGAGTGTCCTAGAAGCTAAGAGGCAAGGAAGATACGTGGTTTAGATCTCAATCCATGTCATCTAAGTAATCCGTCTCTGTAGCCAACTCGTCTCTCTGCTCATCTGATTCAGGCTCAAAGCTATGGTCTTTCTCCCTTTCAATTTCGTCAGGCTTGTCCTTCATCTTCTTTCCGCATGCGGGGATGTCATGACAGATACTGGTCTGAGGAGAGACTGTTTTGTATTTGAGCGAGCGTGAGCGTGAATCCGACGTGCCAAAGTACTTCACTTACTACGCGGACTTGACGATTTTCGGGCTTTCAGTCCGTCATTGTGCTCTTTCACCCAGCTCTGCTTTACTGGTGAGTTCCACGGCGATGTGACTAAAGTAAGTTGCATCGTCATCTTAGATTATAATCATTATAGGAACCCAGTGGGAAGAGCAAGTACCCGCTCACTTACCTCGCCGAGCGTATTTGCGAACAATTTCATCATCGCTAGTAAAGGCGAGGCCACAACTTCGGAAGTGCGCAGCTGCTAGGCCATTTTCGAAGGGATCACTATTGAAAATTGGATGATGGCAGCCTCTATCCATATTCGGACAGGAGAGAATGTAGAAATTGGCGTCGTCATTGAGCTTGTAAGAAAAGACAAAATGATTAGGGTAGTATTTTGTGATTGCTGACGTCAAGGCGCTTGTTTTGTTCTTCTGTTTGGGACGTTGAACGCGCTTGGTATTCTGTTTCTTCAATTTAAGCTTCCTGAGGCCATTCTGAGGCGAAGTCTTTCGGAGCGGCTCCTTGGTTGATGGGGCAGGGTATGATCTCTGCACTTTTGCGTCTTTTGAGCTCTCAAGGCCACGACTCCGCCGGCGTCTCTCATTTAAGTCTGGACGGTGGTGGCTCAGCACCGAGAGAGAAGGACTACGAGATTCTAAGTGATAATCCGTGGTCTTTTGACTCTGATCTAGAGAAATCCCGTCTGATAACTATCATGATTGTAAGCGATACGAAGTAGAAGACGGGCCATGGAGTCTGGTTAAATACCACTATCGGAGTGCTATCGGGCTGATCGAGTTCAGGCGGCATGGCAAACATTGATTGGTTTGAACGTCCATAGTCCAATGATGAGAAAAGAAACCCTCGAACCTGATCGAGATAGAGATTGCTGACGCTGCAGAGAAAATTGTTCTCAATTTGAGCAACAATAGACCCTCTCTCATGAGGGGGAAATCGGTTCGGCGTTTCGGATACGAGTTTGCTGCGCACTTTTCCTCTGAAGTCTTCGTATTTATCGACCAGTATTTTCATCTCCCGGTTCAGTTGATGCTCAAGATGGCCATTGCACTGCTGTATCAGCCTTTCAACCCTTTCCACAGTGTCCCGAGAGATTGAGTATGTCATCGGCAGATGTGTATCCATGGTGAACAAGTTGATTTGGTCTTATGAGGGGTGGCGGAGAGAGTTTTGATTGATAGTGACAAGATCTATCAACAGATTTTTCTCTTGCGACACGTTTATCAAGAGTTTGGAAACTTTCGATTGCTGAGTAAGACCAGACAGTCGAGATAGGGCTTGCCTCAAACTTTTCTATGTTTGCGTCTTATTAGACGCAGCCGATATCGAAAAAGTCGCCTGCGGTACGAAAATAAATGTCGTCAGTGGCTTTCTATGTTATTCCCTTATTTTAGCGGCAAAACAAGCAAACTTCTCGCAAGCAGACAAAAACAAGAAAACAATAGCTGCAAGGATGTTCTTCCCTGTTGGTTTCAAAGTAACAAACAATTTTACACGCAAACACAAAATCTGTTTGTCTCACACCAGGATTTTCCTACAACTTGCGCTGTTTGTTACACTAAAAACAATCAAAAGCTTTGTTGCATTACCCTGTGAGCCTTCGAAGTTCTCAACATTTCTAGCTCCTTGTCTCCCGAATTGCCGCAATGACTCCTCTGTAAAAAAGCATTACTTCATATTCATTCTCCATTGTACCGTTGCCAACTTTGACCTCTCGGTGATTATTCAAAGTATGTTGTTTGCTTGATAAGCCATACCTCTCATCTATCTCCACTTGAGGGACCTTAAGAATCACTCAAAAACCAAGCTCCACCCGATCCTGATCCGGCACTTGAAATCGCACTTTCCGTCCTCAAGTTCCCAAGTATTGTGAGATTATTTCCTACTTGACGATATGGAATCTCCAGAGATCCATCCGGCGTAAGTGCTAAGACCGCTCATCCGATACTATCGCACAAACACGTACCAAGTCGTAGCCACTTTCCGTACCTCTGACAAGATGATCATAGGATATTGGGCTGGGATTGGGGCAGCACCGCAATCAGAGTCAGTCTACTCATTTTCCAAGGTAGTGAGCGGATTATACAAGAAGTATTCAATACAGAATCTCATCCCGGGCACGATGAGCGGTACCAAAAGGGTGCGTTCAACTCGGCCCTGTATCTAGACGGCAAGGGCAACGTGTATCTTGGTGAAAGAATGGACGATAATCGAATTCCTACCCCGTCCAAGGAGCTTTTCAGTAGGAATTCACCCGCCAATAATAGTTTTAAGGCTATCAATAAGAGCCTGAACGGGGTGAAAAGCAGTAGCTCCCGAGAGCTGATTTGCAAAGGAATGGACGCCATCGCCAGCGCTGTTCTTCAACAAGTTCAAAGTCACTGTCAAGGAGGATACTTGCACGGTCGCATGCTCAGTGGGGTCAAGATCCGTCGGATTGGGCTGTCCTACCCAGCATTCTGGAGGCAAGAGGAGCGTACCTTCTACGAACATATCATTAGAAGAGTCATGCCCGAGTTTGCAGACATTTTCGCAAACGACACTGATGTAGACTTCCATGTGGAAAGTCTGGCTTCGGCCCACAACTTATTCTGGAACCAACGCCAACACAACAAGTTCCTCCAAATTTCCGACAAACCTACATTATTAGTCTTCCTGGACTTTGGTGGCTACACTTTGGTAAGAATCTAGCCACCTTGCAACCCACATCTGGGGCCGCATCCGGGCCAAGATAATACTGACATCACCAGAACGGCTGTATGTTTACCGTTGTCCAGGGTACGAAAGACCTCTTTAGCTACTATAGAGTAGGCGATACATTCTGTAAGTCTGCACTTCAATTGTCTTGTCAATGCTGCTGTGAGAAAGCTTTGGCTGAAGAATGTATGCCCAGGCACAAGTGGCGGCACTCAATTGTGGGAGCGAGCTTTCGGAGACTTTGCAGCCAGATACTTTGAGATGCAGCAGGGATTCAAGCTACCTTCAAGAGAGCGTATGCAGCTTTTGCAAAGCTTTCACCTGCAGATCAAGAAGTTCAACTCAGATAAGATCAATGATATGTCGCTACATGTCACAGATCCGGAGAATGCAACGAGATCACGGACGGTGTATCTTACGGAAGTACAAGCTGGGCAATGCTTTTGGGAAGGGATGAAGCGGCCTATCGAGCTGGCAAAGGAGAAGGTTGCCGAGGCAGCGACTCTGAGCGACAGGGTCCGAGTTGTCGTTTCCGGCGGAAGTGGCAAAAGCTCCATCGTTCAAGCCCATGTCCATGATGCGTGCAGAAAAGCCAACATTGATGCTCCGTATTTCTTTTACGAAAAGGCGGGAGATAAAGAGTAACTATAGCAAAACCAGAGCTACTCTCAAAGTTTATATATGCTGACTTATGCTGTAGTTCATGGAATATCTCCAAAGGTGCGGCAATTGCCACGGCAACTACTATGACAGGCCTCGAGTTCATGGAAAGAGGAGCAGCATTTGGGATCCAAGTCGGGTACATAAAAAACAAGGACGGGTCTACAGGGAGGGGAAACGAGTCAGCCGTCAAGAACAGGACAACCTTTTGGCAAGAAAAGGTCAAAGTCACCGTTGATGCAGTATGTGCACTCCTTACTTTTCTCGCATGTCATTGATGCATGTGAGCTTCAAGTTGTGAATAAACGCACACATATTCTACTTGACCCTCCTGAGCATTTGGAAACTGATAGATTCATACAGACACAGTCTTATCCATTCACAACATGGTGTTCTGGGCAGAAATGTCTCAAGATCATATGTGATCCGTTCTTACAAGTCTCAGAACGCAAAGAGGAGCTCACAGCATCATTGAGCTACGACATACTCGAGCTACCTCCGCCCAAAAGAGGCTACTGGCGTTTCACACAAAGTATTGTCTATGATGGTGATACTATGATCTTTTTGCTGTGCAGAGACTATTTGGGGACGAACAAGAATGCACGGACAGCCATAAGATCCGAGACACATTTCTCCTGTCCAATGTGTTTTGAGAACTCTTCGAATTGCTTCTTGCTCGACACGGATGTGGATGATGGAGGCCGTGGTCTTCGACTCAATGAAGAGGGGAAGCTTACATCCTGCACTGAGGATTCCGTGAAGGAACAGCTAAGAAGCCTGCAGAGGAGCACAAGGAAAGACAATTTGCCTCGCAAACGCCAGAGGCAAGTCTCGGAACCGTCGCAACGGGCGAAGAAGCGACAACCTGGATGGAAGCCCACTGGCCATCTCCTCCCTTTTCAACCACCGTCAGCGACAGGCTGCGAGTCACCACTAGGTGAAAACGCAATCATTTCAGGTGCAGGGCTTTCCGGTGCTGGTAACACTCATGACAGCAGTTCTGATGTCGATTACGAACCTGTCAGTCATCCAGTGACGTCTCCCGTAAGATTGATGGAGACAAGAAGCAGCTCACTACGGAAACGAAGCGAGTACACCCAGTCGTCATTCGAATTGGGAACCGGATACCCGCTAGCCCCCTCAGAAGGCGACAGCGACACTGTTGATCTTGACTAATACTATTACGGATTAGCTGACAGCCTTTGAACAATCGCAATATTCAGCTTCCCTCTTCATGACACCTTATCTGAACAACGCTCAATCTAATTGTGGGACTCAAATGAGGAACAAGAGAGTTTGCTGGCCAATACATACATTCTCTTCTTTCTCAAGGCTACTGCCACCCATCATCTCCCACCTACTTGGGCTTCCTAGAGTTTTCCGTCCAAAAGAAAAAGAATCGAGGATGTTGCCACAAGTAAGGTACTGGGTAATAAGTCGTAATGATGACAAAGTAGAAGTGATGCCTCAGTGGTACAAATGAACTTACGAACACGTGAAGGAGCAGGTCATTCTGTTTTCCACTTCTGGGTTTGGAATTTGTCCTTCATGTAACGTAACCCAAGCAACAAGGCCTATCTGTCATATTATAGAGGCTGTTCTCACCCGAATGGCAACCGGCACAAAGCGCGAAGCAGGGCCAGCCCGCATCGTTTCACAGCACTTCCAGACTGAGAAATACACTAAAAATTCTTACAAGGCATCGGATAGTTGCTGTTTTAGATGTGATTGGGCCTGTGTAGGGTGTGAGCCTGGCAAAGCCTGTACAAGCTGTGGTTATTGGTGGATTCAATAGCAGCGCACTTGTGCGACCGCTTTGGATGCTATGCAGCATGGGCTTCTGCCTATGGTGATTTATGCTGCATCATCTTACTCTTGGTATTGGAAACAAATACGATGATGGCCTCGCAGGTCATCTGAGAGGCTCCAAAACGGCAATCCTTTCAATCTGAAATCCAAGTACGCTGTCGCGTTGTCTATGCGTGGAGGATGCCATATCAAATGTGATCTCTCGTTGGGCACTAGCATAATATAGTAGAAGTATCGATGCCCTCTTGTGCCGTATCTACCTTAGGTACGTAGAGAAGGCAGAGGTCTTAAAGCCAAACATAGTCTCTAGTCGTCCACGGACTTTAAGTCTCGCCTCATTCTCCACTTTGGCCCGACCTTCATTTCTATATACATGAGGGGGAGAAGTAGAGCGCAAACGCCGCCAAGGAGAACATAACTCCAGCTGATGCGCAAGGCAGCCGTCATCCTGTCGATGAGACCCACCAAGAGGGCTGCCAGCAAGCATCGTACCAGGTTTGTCTGTGACTAGCATTAGCCTTCCCAAGTTCTGGCAAGGTTCCTAAGAGCAAGTTACTCACACATGCTGTCGCGGCTGAGCTCCTGGTTTGCAGAATGTCGATCATGAGAGTCATGGTCGTATTGAGAATAGCAATCGACGTATAACCCACTAGAACCGTCAGTTGTGGAATCGCGACTTGACTAAGGGCATGCAGCTTATAAAGTTAACTTACGGACAATCTGAAGAACGAGAGGGACAGCGATATGAACCCCTCGGTCAACGCAAAAGCCCCATGCTATCACAGCTCCGGAGAACAGAACCAGTAACACCGGCATGGTCCTTAAACGTGCATACTCCTTAGGGAACAAGATATCGCCATCGGATTCCTCAACCTTTTTCTTAATACGAGCGTAGTCCCAATCGAGAAACTTTCCGGTGAGTGTGCTGCCAACGATCATGCCAAATCCCGTGGGCAGGTAGCACAGACCAAGGGCGGTTTCGGACAACCAAGGGTAGACTTTGGCAAAGGAAGAGGCGACCGTCGTCACGACGGTGTTGTTGACTGCGTAAACGACGCCCGTAAAGGTGAGGGTTATGGCGACGTCGGGATATACGAGGATGACAAAAGGATTGATTGATCGCTTGACGCCAGACTTATTGCGTTGGATCTTGTTCTTCCTTCGGGATCTACCTACCACGGGTAAGAGAGGGGTGTAGACCCCGCCAAGAGAGATACTTCCGTTGCCAACGAGATTGCGAAGAGTTTCCGGGAGGAACCTATAGAGATTGCTAACCGTCAGCGCACGGTCTCGAGGAGGAGAGGAGGGGCATGGACTTGTTCAACTTGCAAGGCGGAACTTACAGTAAGATAAAGAGGAGGCAACAAACAGCCATGATGACTTGGAACCAAAAAATGGAACGCCACCCAAGTTTATCAGAAAGCGCACCACCAATCGCTGGAGCGATACAGGGTGAAAGCTGATAGTGTCAATAACATGATGGGGTAAGGTGCCTTTCGCATAGCTCTAGGGGGTAGTTGGCTAAACGTACCATAGGGCCGAGATTGAACGTGCCGAAGAATCCTCCCCTCTCTTCCGGAGTCGAAATGTCGCCGATAACACCCGCCCCTGGTACCCAACTGATTAGCCTGGCACATAAAGTAGGTTCAAGCAAAGAATGAGTTACCAAGAGCGATTGTGCTAGCACAACCAGCAGCCTGCAAGCATCGGAGGACGATCAAGAGCCAGAAAGCGTCCGTAGGAATTACGGCTATTCCTATACACGCTCCGATTAAGATGGTCAAGCAGACTAAAAAGACTGGCCTCCTCCCGTAGCGGTCGGAGAGGGGTCCCCATAGCATCGGCGCTATTCAGGTATGCGGGTTAGGCAAAATTCATTCACTAGATAGCTGATAGGGCGGAGAGCAGGGGGTATCCTTTGCACATTGCCTTTTACTTACAGACGCCCTGAGTCGCAAGGAAGGCTGTTACTGTCAAGTTCAGAAGCTCCACAGACTTGCCAAATGCTCCTGACAGCTTCGGGATAGCAGGCAGGTAAATGTTGGCTGGTAGCGGGCTACGCCGAATGTCAGGATGGGCGGTGTGAGGCACGGAAACATATTGTTTACCTATAAAAACCGGCGACGGCTACCATTGCGACAATGAACCACTTCTCTGTGCGAGTAAAGATGCTGTAGGGCTCCACTGATGCGTTTTCCTCCAGCGGAAGCACGAGGTTCTCCTGTCCGGATTGGAGGTTCGGAGCAGGCGCAGCGCCGGCCCCGGGATCGGGGCCATCGATTTTAGGTTCATCCATCGTGGGGCGCAAGTCGGAGGCCGGAGATCGGGGAAGTGGATGCCTTGATGGAACCGTCCGGACGGCTTAATGGACTTGTGATTCTCTTGGCGGAGGGAAAGATTGAGAACAAGAGGAAGAAATGCCCCTTTGCAGCTCCCCTGCTGGCGAAATACCCATACCACCTCGGCCTACAAAAAATCTTGACCGATGACATTTTGGACCCCACGCGGACCCAGAAATCGGCCAAAATATCTCGGCGCCGGTTTCGGAAAAGGCGAATAGCGGCGGGTCTGCCGCGGCACGGCCATCCGAGAAGGGAGAGGGGCCAGTCCCCGTTTCTTAGGCTACAGACGGTTCGCATTAGTTAGTCTGGATCGCCATTGATGTAATCCGTTGCTGGGCCTGCTAGGTAAGCGGCCTGGCACATTGGCAGAGAGGCTCTTGGATGGTGGATCTATGTGGATTCAGCTCGTGGGGACTTCAGGCCGGCTTGCGGTGATGTTTCCGGCGCATATCCGGGGTGCCAACTTCCAAGGTTAGTGATAGGTTGCCATAGGCTCATGACCACTAGGAGGTCCGATATATCGGAGGCTAGGACCTTGAGATATCTGAAAATCTCTTTTGCCTGTTTCTTATCTTGTCCAGAGATGCAAGATGCGGCTTCTAGCAACCGAGGCTGAGGTGTTCTTGGCGACCGGCTCCCACTTGGAGACACCTTATGGAAGAAAACCTTCCACCTCTACGTGCACTTTGTCTCAGTTAAGGATATGGATGTATTACTATCAATCCTCTGAGTCATCATTATTAACGCCACGTTTGAGAAATATAGACTTGGCTTTCAAGAATAACCAAAAAATATGTCGGCTTTGACCTCACCAAAGATTGAAGACAATCTTGCATGACCTCTAATCCAGGACCTAATGTTATAAGTTTCCCGTAATACAACAGGTCTGTTGCCATCACAAGTATGATCGAGCTTCCGGTGCAGAACAGGCCCAATTACCGACTCCTCCAGAGACGCCCTCTCGCAAAAACGAAACATTAGACGGAAAGCGAGAGTTCTATCCAAGATACGTAGACAGAATATTGAAAGGGCTGGAAAGGCATCTCCCATCGTCGAGTCACATTCGGCCGGATTTAGGTACGAGGTGCCGCCCTGGTTCTCATCGACAAGCGGTTCGTTAACAAGACGTTCAACGTCTTTACCTTGTGGTGGTGATGAACGCGAATATGCTCTTGTCAGTGCTTATCTGCAAGTGCGTTGCCCTCAACTTGTCTGTCCAGCTCTGTCCAGCAACACGAAGAGTTCACCGCTGACAAAGGGGGTAAAGTCACCTTCGAGATGCTAGCCGCAACGTCCGGGATTGTTGTGAGGAACTCGGCTATAGCTATCATGTTCTCTAGCCTTCTGACAACGATTTGGACGGCCTACTAAGGACTAAGCGATGGCCGAGGATCCCCAGGTACACCTATGCAGACCGCTGTTCTCATAACCCTCCCCATGGTTCTCGGCGCAGCAATTGCAGGAGCAGTAGTCAGCGGGCCGTGATGGGGGACTGTCTACGAGAGCAAGTTAGTCGGCCGTGTAACTTCAGCGATCGTTAGTCCAGCAGAAGTTTTCGGCAAGTTCATTGGCATAGCCCTCTCGTCCACGTTCTTTGGCACTATCGCGGCAACAAGGTACACCATAATGTTCAACTTCTAGCACCTCCTCTCGTCCTTCTACCAAAGGTCCGCATATATTTCCTGCTATGAGTATGCGCCCCTGATGACAGCGGTGGCAATTCTTGTTGAAATCCGTTACGCCGCAGACTTCATCGTGAGTCCGGAGAACTTCGTCGCTCTCATACAGTAATGGTCCGCGGCGTTCCTCAACGTGAACCGTGGACCGTGGTGCTCTTCGACCATCTTGAATGCCGTGGCCCAAACTGCGTAAGGTACGGACCCAGCGCCTGGGTCCACGCCGTAAGGCTGCCGCTCAGCGTGGCTGCGTTTGGGTCGTGCGTCTCTTGCCTCGGCGTCGTCGTTCCCTGCATGGCGCAAATATGGTGGATCGGGCCGATCGCCGAGACGGCCGGGAATATTGGGGGTAAGCTGGCGTTGGTAGTGTCTGATTGCTGTGTTTGGCGATTAGAACGTTGGAAAGTATGATTTCAGGGCGACGGGAGAATAGCTCTCAAGAGTCAAGACAAATGGGAACCGACCCGGGCGGTGAGGTCTAACGAGTCTGCTGTGCGAGCTGCGCCGCTTGGCCCGCTGGGAAGGACGGCAGGGGTAACAATTATATTAAGATTGAATCTACTGTGCAGATCGAAAAGTTCATGAGGAAGATGTAGAGAGTGGCTATTGGGTTCAATCCATACTGTTTGCTTGCCATAGGCAGAGAAGGACGGGTGGAAGCATATTAGGCGCAGCAATAGATCTATGCGCGTGGATACCTACATCGCCGCTCTTCCCACGTTTTACTTGGCGCACAGGATCTCTCGGCATGAGGGATGCGGGATTCCAGAACGAAAGATCCAATGACTAATTCACTCGCCTGAAGTCCTCAACCTGCTGCAACAGCATATGCGTTTCTGGGCGTGCCGCGCGTCGGGTGCCTCGAGCAAACAAACTGATATTAAGGTCGGCCTCATCCTCCCATACGACCCTGCAGCAAGGTTGCATCTGTCATAACTTGAGTTCTTTGTTGGCAAACTCTTATCAAAGAGAAGCATCGTCCGGGCTTCTCACCCCTTTGGTATGCTCCTCGAGGCATTGTCGGGATCATAGTTGCCGGTCGAATAAGACTGCACGTAAACAGGCGGGATATTGACCATACACTGGCCGGATGTGCTGCAGCAGCATATGCAAGAAGGAAGCAAACAACACGTTTTCGGCCGCAAGCCGTCTCGCACAGAATTGCTCATGTTGGGTTAACGCCCGAGATGGGGCCCTGCAGAGAGATCTCGCACCAACCAACTGGGACGGAACTCATCCGGAGATCTCGTACTGTGCCCTACTTCTCCTTTTTCTTCATTCTCAAGGCGGCAGTGGCGGGAGTAGGATCCGGGAGAAAACGCTGGGACGACAGTGAGGAGGAGGAGAAAAGAAAACGAATTGTTTGCTTTTGCCGCATACTGTATGCAGGACAGGACATATCGCTCCGAGGCCACGGAAATGAAACCGCACCGCCGCTCGGTCTGTGTCACCTACTCGAACGGACGAGATTGCATGGGATGAAATTCAGGTAGACGTAGGGAGAGAGACAGGAGGAAGAAATCCACATTCTCACACGACGTAGGCGAGAAACGCAAAATGATTCGACCGACAGCTAACCAATGCCGCCCCGTCTCGCACTCACTGAGTCTCACAGACTCACTCTCATTCTCACCTTCACTTTCACTCTCACTCTCACTGTGATTATCAATATCACACGCCCTTCACTCATCTTACTCTCACCCTTACTTTTCTGTATCCGCATTAATGGTATCGAATCGCGGATGTCCCTCGGCGGCAATCACTGACCAGCAAAATGCAATCTGCCCCGGTTGCGACCGAGACATGTGACGGCTCGAGTCTGATTGCCTTGCAACCCTCATGTTTTCGAACGCCAGTCGAACGCTTTGAGCGTAAGCTGTCGCAGCCTCCTCCCTTCCCTTCGACCGCGATGACGGCAAACGTCGTTTGTAGACGTTACCTGCCAGGCCGCAAGCCACTGAGGCGGGAACGGCGCTAGAGACGACCTTATTCGAGAACCAAGTGCAAGGGAACGCGGAACTAGACCGGGACGCCGTGAAACCACGGCATCGATCCATCCAGACGGCACTGCTGTCTGTAGTGATCCTCTCGAGTTAAGGCGGTGTTGCCACACCACACCCGATCGACGGACTTTGAGCCTTCTAGCTTACCTCTCACGGCCGTTCAAATAGGGTTTCGCCTCGTCGAGGGTGGCCTCGGGATGTGATTGGGTCATTCCGTACCCGGATGGGCGTTCGTCGCGTGGTCACGCAGATGGCTGATGCGGTTGAGACATGTATATTCGGATACCGACCGCGCTGGGCGAATGTTGTTGGGACCGGACTGCGTGTTGTCAAGAGCACCGAGAGCGTCGATGAATAGACCTGGTCTCTGGCTTGGCTTGTGTGAGCCCTTGGGGTCCATCCAACATTACACATTTCACAAGAAGCCCTTCCTGGGACTTGCATATTGCTCACCACCAATCTAAAACTCTCCCGGACCAACCTTTACTATGTTACGGATATTGGTTGGTGCAAAGGAAAGATGTGTAAAAGAAAACGTGGGAAAACGTGGGAACTCCGGCCCCTCCGGAGTCGGTGCTCGGGGTGCTGTGATTTCAGTCTGGGATGGGCTGATGTTGACCAGGAAATCCGGGGAAGAGGAACCTTGACACATTGCGATCTAGATTCCTTCTTCCCCGCCAAGTGAGAAGACCAACGAAAAAGCGCGCATTGTTTCATTTGGGAGCCACTATTAGGCTGCCCAGTTTGCCAGTGCCTGCTAACCCCAAGTCGCCCCAGGCTGGCGGCGCCGTCAGGTCGAGGGCCACAGTTCGTGTCAAAGTCGGTCTTAATGGCGGCAAAGCTTATCTTGTCGACCGCTTTCCCAGCCGTCTTTCTCGCGGTGCCCTTGACGGCGGCTGTTCCCAGGACATGGACGGGGAAACGGGCGCATCAGTCGCCAAGACCACGCCGGTCTCCTCCTTTGCCGCAAGCTTTCGGTGAGAGAAGACACTTGTGGCTTGCACAAATTATGACGGTGGCCTATCTAGTGAAAAGTACTCTCTTCTATTGGTTTCCGTCGGTATGGGGAGCTCGTGTTGCTCGACTCTCATCGACAAGCTCACTGCTCACAAGACCGTCTAACTAGCTCGGGCGCCCGCCAAGCTCCAACCAACGTCCACGGTGTCCTGCCCGGTCTCGGCTTCGCTGGAGGATGAGAATGGCGGGAAGAAGCCCGATGGCCCGCCATCATCCATGTCGCTGATGAAAACGAATAGTGTATCCGTACAGGCTGGG